AAAAAAAAAAAAAAAAAAAAAACTTTTTTCACCCCTTTAATACTGAGTATTCCACCTCTGGCACTAATCACATCCATTATAAGCCTTTGCATTACTTGGAAAAAAACTTCGGATAAAATCCTGAGGAATTCTTTCCCATTCATCAAGAACAGCTGTTTTCAACTCCTCTAGGGGTGTTAGGACCTGTGTTTCACCGTCATATTCATCATTAGTTGATCCCAAATGTGTTGAATTCAAAAAATTTAAGTTTGGATTCAAATCTGGACTTCGAACTGGCCACACTTGATTCCAACCTCATTCAGGCAGTTATTAGCAATATGTGCTCTGGAAGCCAGGCATTATCCTACAACAGCAAGAATCTCTCACAAATGTGGGGGGGGGGGCAAATGACATGCTCTTCGAATGTCTTGTAAGCACTTCTATTAAGTTGAGATCTTCCTCGAACACCGACCAATTCGGTGCGGCTGTCCAATGAAATGCCACCCCAAAACATCAATGACCCACCATGGAACTCGTCCCCAAACTTTCAATGTCCAATTCACATGTTTCTGCACTAATTGAAGCCTGAATATTCTGTGGTCCACGAGCCATCTTGAGTCTTCTTCTTACAGTCCTGGAGGAAATCGAAACATTTCAGACTTGTGTGGAGATTAGTGACTGTTAATCGATATTTATTTAGAAATCGTGAGATGCTGTCTGGTGTGATGTAGGTTTCAGAAAAACATTTTCTTTATCGTGCCAACGGTTCGATTTTTATTGAGATTATCTTCTGGGCTCAAAGGTTTGTCTTCTGTGTAATTGTGCCATTCTTGCGTGTCGTGTCGAGAGTCATCTCGACTTGTCTGACCAGAGTTCTTATCTCATTTCTCAATGCTGCGTTTTCATAAAGCCTAATCTAATGAATCTATGACCTCTCAGTCCTGTAGACGTAGGTCGACCTTGTCCAGGCCTGCTAGCGTGACACTTTGTTTCTTGCAGCACTGAAGTACCCTTCCTACGAAGAGTGATTTACACTCAGTCTTTTGGTGACTTTGCGCTGGCTTTAACCTTCCTCTAATAATGTTATGTCCTGACACTGTCATACTCATTCAAATGACTAACCGGAGTTATTGAATAAGGTTTAAAAATAGGAATATTATCAAATGAAATCAACGAAGGAAAAAATTAACTGAAAGCGATCTTTAGGCTTAACAGAATGCTTTTGGGGGAAAACGGGATTAAGCAGAACAAAAGTAAACAAAGCATTATTTACTGTTTACTTTGACTATGATAGCTCCTAATTATCTGTAAATATTAGATTTAATTTTAGACTAAGTAAATCGAGTGGTGCGTTTAAATTGTCCAATGTATTAAAGCAGTTCCACTTTGGCGGCAGAAGCAACCTGAAGAAGCCTCTCATCGCAGTACATCATGCACAATCTGTGCGAGCAGATGTCAGTCACAAACCCAAATCAGCCTCATCGGCTCGCTTCTGCCCCTCGTGTGGAACCGGCTTAAAAGGCATTTTTGAAAATTACTTGTCTCGCTTGAATTGTTGGTTGGCTTCAAATTTACATAAAGGGTCGTCGTCGTAGCACTGGTCTATGGTCGGTACCCTCCTTAGCTTTTCGTGGTACCAGTTGTACTCCTTCCGGTTGGGTTCGACGATGTTCTCTGTGCAAAAGAAACACAATTTGGAAGGTGGTGAAAAATGAGGGCGAATTTATGAAAAAAAAACTCACTTCTGAACCAGACGACCGGCCCCTCGACCATGCTGACGACTCCGAAACAGAATCTCATAAAGGGACTGTCCTTGGGATTCGAGTCAGCGCCCATCCTCGTTTATTCTAGGATGCTGAACGAAAAGAAAAAAACCTGGAAGATGACCGAGGAAGCAATCAGCTGCTGGCCCTGCTACCAAGTACCAGGGACCGTGGCCCCGATGGAACAACCATCGATCTTTTCACTCACATCGACTCATAACGTCAATAAATCGAACGTATTACATCAAAATCATCCAATGTTTAAATACTTTATTAATAAAATGACAAAACATTTCATTTGAAAGGTTTTATTATCGACTAACGATAATATACTAATTATTACAAATGACAACAATTTGACCGTTTATGTAAAGCAAGCTTTTAAAAAACAAAGTAATAAATTGTGCATCAATTCTGACCAGGACTTTGTAAGTACCTATTTATTTAAACGGGCAGATGCCCAAAATACAATACATTTTCCAATTAAAACAAATATATAAATTTTTCCACATGAAAACTTAAATTATACAGCGTCTCACGATCTCTAGATAATCTTAATTATCACTTGTAAAAGTTTGAACGAAAAATAATCATTAAAAACCTATTTATAGAGCATAAACAACATTAAATTTGTTTTAAATGCTTATCAACGTGCAGCAAATTATGTTTGGGTGATGAGATCTTAAGAGGTCATCACCCAAACATTAATTTATTAGTTTTTTGTTTTAAGTTTTTAGGTTCTGTTTATTCATTTGTAATTAAGTAATACATATTACATTATATATTTTTGTAGTTACAGTAAATAATAAATACTTTTTCCACTTACACATTTAATATAACAACATTGGCATTATAGTTATATTATTATTATTGTTATTAATTTGTAGATGTAGATGTAATTTTTCAGGGTATGGTATACTGCGCCCTTTAAGAGCTATTGTATCCCCTGTTCTCTGCCTAAAGCACATCGGTGAGTCCTATTTCATCAAGCAACTTGATTAATAGGCCCGGTTTCAGTGGTTGAAGCTCTTCTATGGTCACATTATCCCAAAACATTTCCTCCTGTGGGCTAGTGTAGCTCCGCAGTTTGTTAGTAGGTGTGTTGGTGTCTCTTCTGCCTCCTTGCAGAATCTACATGTGCCATCTTGGATTGTTCCAATTTTCTTTAAGTGTCCATTTAATCTGCAGTGTCCTGTTAGGAATCCTGTTAGTATTCGCAGTCTGTTCCTGCTTCCTTTGACACATTCTTTGATTTCTTTCTTACCAAAATTGGTTAGAAGATTCTTGGATTGTCTATGTCCAATAAGTGAATTCCAAAGTTCACTAATTTTCTTTTTGTCCTTCTGTCTGAGATATTCGTTAATAGTGTGGATTCCTATGCCACAGAAGGGTTCGGGTCGTATCAGCGGTGTGGCAGCCCCTTTCCTTGAAAGGGTGTCCGCTTTCTCGTTGCCTTCTACTCCCATGTGTCCTGAGACCCAGCAGAGGCTGACTTTATTCTGCATACCTAATATGTTTAATTTGGTTTTGCAGTTCAGCACCATCCTTGAACTAATGATACTTGAGCTTAGTGCTTTGATGGCTGCTTGGCTATCTGACATGATAGCTATTTTCTTGTTTTTGTACCCTTTATTTAGATTGAATTGGGTAGATCTTTCAATTGCATGAATTTCAGCTTGGAAGATACCGGTGTGTTTTCCTATGGGTTCTGAGTATTTGGTTCCGGGTCCAAATACTCCTGCCCCTGTACCTTCTTGTGTTCTAGATCCATCTGTGTACCAGAGGATGGTGCCATTTTTAAAGGAGTTATTTCCCTTTCTTTCCTATTCTTTTTTGGTACCCAGATATATTCGGAATTTTTGGTTAAATTCAAACATCCTGTTCATGTTGTCTCTTGGAGCCATGAGTGACGGATGGTCTTTCCATAGTTTGTTGCTGTCTCTCCACTTCAGTTTTATTCCTGTTGGAGGTTTCTCTCTGATAAAGTTGATAATGGTTTTCTGCGCTGTCCTTTCTACCATGTGATGTAGGGGGATTAATCCTAGTATCTTTTCCATGCTAATTGTAGGACATGTTATTATTAATTTTTAAGGGTGTTTTAACGGCTAAGGTCATTCACGCCCTGACATCCAAACTTTCTATCTTAGGTTAGCTATATCCCTTCTGAGTACTATAAAGTACTCTTACTCCAAACATTCACTCATAAACTAATTTATCCTATTGCCATCCAAACCTTTAATTCATCCTTTTAAAATTCTTAATTTGGAATGCCAAATGTATGCAAAAATCCCATTTTAAATTACATATAAAATTTATTCCTGTTTTTTGATTAGAATTTTGAATTTTTGTTCCATAATTTAAACATTTCCCATAGGCTGGTATGGCTAATAATAATAATAATAGCGTTACCTACAAGAGATAATAGTAAAAAACAAAACAAATAATAAATGTTTACCATAAAATATTTAAGTCGAGGATGAGCTTTTCACCTATTAGGGGAATTCTCCAAGGGAAGCCGCTTCCACCCTCACCAAGTACCTCTGATTCTAGTTCTAAGAGATTAAGCCTTTTTGCAAAAATTGTCCAACACAGTCCAATACTTGCCATTAATATATTCCAACAGAATCTCGCTAGACAGAGCTTCTCTACCAAAATATTGTTTCCTGACATCTGCCAATGCAGGGCTTGAACAATGAAACAAATAATTAAGTTAAATATATCACAACTTTATTAATAACAATTAGCAATATGCTCCATATGCCCTTGTGACATTCCCTTGTTTTGGTATCTCCTCCTATGCTTGACACTAAGGCGCTGTTTTTCCAAGTGTTGAAAAACTTGGTTGTACGTTTAATTATGAATTTTTCAAAGTTTTCTACATACGCCTTTTTAAGGAGGAGTTTCAATTTTAGTGTACCTTGGGGAATTGGTACATAAGACAGTAATTTATTATACCTATACAGGGTGAGTCATTTTTTGACGTACCATTGGAAAATCAACGCAGGTGCATTTAAATCTGACTCGAGGCTTATTTCCTTTGATTAATATGTTAATGAAAGAAAGCGAGACAATTTTCGGTGCACCATTGGAAAATCAATGTGGGTGCGTTTAAATCTGACTCAAGGCCAATTTCTTTTGATTTTAACATTAAAAAAAGGAAGTGAGTCAATTTTCAGTGCACCATAGGAAAATCAACATGGGTGCGTTTAAATCTGACTCAAGGCCTATTTCTTTTGATTTTAACATTAAAAAAGGAAGTGAGTCAATTTTCGGTGCACCATAGGAAAATCAACGTTAGTGCATCTAATTATGACTCGGCACATTTTATTTTGTTAGCCTCTTACCAAAAAATAGGCGAGTCACTTTTCGATGCACCATCCGTTACAAATTAATTTTAGTAGGTTGGAAGGAAAATAAACAAAACCAATATTATTAAAACATTATTCAAACACAATGTAAAAATTAAAAAAAAAATCTTCACAAATTAATTTGATTAAGGTTTAAGAGTATTTTTTTCTGGCAAAGTAAAAAAATTAAATAAACATAACAATCTCCTTTTTTCTGGTAAAGTAAAAAAAATTAAATAAATGTAACAATCTCCTTTGTTAGCAAATCAAAAATGTTCAAAATCATTGTAATAATTGTTCGAACAGACCTCCATTTGCTGCAACACAGTAGCCTAGTCTATCGTAAAACGATGATTGGACGAAAAAAATACTCTTAAACCTTAATCAGATTAATTTGTGAAGAATTTTTTTTTAATTTTTACATTGTGTTTGAATAATGTTTTAATAATATTAGTTTTGTTTATTTTCCTTCCAACCTACTAAAACTAATTTGTAACGAATGGTGCGTCGAAATGTGACTCGCCTATTTTTTGGTATGAGACAAAATAAAATGTGCCAAGTCATAATTAGACGCACCAACCTTGATTTTCCTATGGTGCACCGAAAATTGACTCGCTTTCTTTTATTAACGTATTAATCAAAGAAAATAAGCCTCGAGTCAGATTTAAACGCACCCGCGTTGATTTTCCAATGGTGCATCAAAAAATGACTCACCCTGTATATGTACTAAGCAATCAGAACAAACCTGCTAAGTGATAGAATTAAAACTTCCGTTATATTAAAAAAAAAGTCAAAAGTTACAGTCTAATAACACTAAATTTAATTAGTTTAAGATTAAATCCATCACCTTTTTACATTTATTACAGGTAATTAGGATATATCGTAGTCAAAATAAACAGTAAATAATGCTTTTGCCAATCTGAATTCTGTCTTAGAATAATGATTTTTCAACTCAACATAACTAAATCTCTGCAAATGCAGCACTGCACTTCTGTTAGACCTCTTTAACTTACTAACTCTTAAGAATAGACAATATTACTTCCTCATCTTTTTTATATAAGCTCCTCAACTATATGATCGACTCTCCTCAACACATATTGTTACTCACTTTCAATGTTCTTAATGGCAAAAAGGGGGGAAAATTCAAAAGGTGCGGTTGAGATGGGAAGTTGGTGCCCGAGGGGATCGAAGTCACGATAGCTCAAGTGGTAGAGTAGCGGTGTATCAAGCCAAAGGTCGTGGGTTCGAGTCCTGCTCGTGACATTGACTTTTTTATCTTAACTTAAAACCTTAATTAATTGAATGATATTAATTGGTCAAGCGGACCACGAAAAATAGTGAATTTAATCTTCTTAATTTTTTTAATGTCATGATGATTTTCCTATATGCATCTTTGTAGATTTATATTTATTTTCACAAGGAAGGTTGCTCGACGTGTCCAACCTAACTGATGACACTCATTGGCTCCGTATATAGAGAGTATATAAATGACTTCTGATTGAGAATTGTACATAAAGTATCTGGGTCCCCTGTACCAATTTTTGGAGTAAACAGTACTGTTTTAGTGTATATAGTACTTTATAGATGTCTTGTGTTTCTTTGTGTAAATTGAGACTGAATGTATTTTTTAGTGTAAATGTAAAGTCTGAGAGGGCTGATGGCAGAACATTGATTATCCCACTGACCCTCAATTTGATCAGCTACTTTGTACATTATTGTGGAGGATGTTGGAGGAATATTAATTATTCCATGGCTAGTAAATATGAAAGAATGTATTTAGAGTGACTGAAATTACCTAGCTGTTAATAGCCCCTGGAGCCAAAGCTCGAAAGGTTTGCCCCTAGTCTGCCAACACCTGAGGCTTGCAAATTTACTCTAAATTACAAAAACTGGAATTGCCAGTGGACTGCAAGAAGTTATAGACTTCAAAGCTGAAAATACAATTTTAATTTATTCCCAATTGTCTATCCCATACCTAAAGGAAAGGCCATTTTAATAATAAAAGTTTTATAACAAAATTGTAATGTATTTTTTAAACATTAAATAAAAATTAAACTTATACAACTGTTTGGTGATAAAAAACAATAAAACACTTTTTAGTAAATGCTAATTTCCTACAGCACATGTTACATGAGTTGAATATAAGAAGATTGTGAAATTCCATGAACATAGTTTAGACAGTTGTCAGCTGTTGTGTATTCGTAAGACCATTCTCGATACTCTTGATGGTCTATTACATTTACAAGCGTTACATCCGCAGACGTAGCCTGAAACAATTAACAACAAATACCTAAATGCCACGAAAATATTGTACATTAAAAAACATGAAACTATTAAATCTATTATGTGAAAAATTAATTAATTTACAATGCTTGTATGCCACACCACAATATTTTAATAATCAATTAAATCTCCTTAATCTATTGATTGAGAAATTGTTGTAAAATTGGTCTTAGCTTATAATTAAGATGAGAATAGTGTTAAAAAGGGTTCCAATTGAGTTAAAACCATTTTTTTTTAAATAATCCCAATCCTCCATCAATATTATTTACCAAGGCAATACATGCAAAACAGTATTAGTCATGTTTATATTGAAGTGACAACAAAAAAGGAAAAATCAGGGAATTTGCATTAAAGTTTTTCTAGTCATTTTAACTAATAGGATAGTTAAGTAATAGGAACCAGTTAAGTCTTCGATTAATTGAATTGTCATGTCTATAATGTGTGACCTTCCTAGTTACGCAATCATTAAGAAAAATGAATGTGGATAAGAAAAAAAAAAAAAACACATCAGTGTGTAATTTCGCATCAACTAATTTACATAACTGGAAATAAATGAATAAAATCAATACAACTTACGATTAATAACATTTTATGGAATGAAGTTACAACAGTCTAAAATTATTTGCACGTGAACACTCTGGACGAAGGTGTAGTCTTAAAGAAGAAAGCAAATTCAGTTGTTACTGTCAAGCTTTTGACCGATTTTAACCTATTTGACAAGACAAAATTGATCAAAAGACAGGGAAAAATTGATTAAATTATTAATAATTTTGTACCAAAATTCCAGAACACTGTTAAAGTCCTTCACAATGTTGGGACAGGGTCGGTCTTCAAGGAAATTTGAAATTGCCTGTAAAAAAACTTAAATATTTAAATCTGTAGACATATTTAAGATTGTTTTGTTCTGATGTTGACCTTAAAATAAATCGAAAACTTGGCAGTAACAACTGAATTTGCTTTCTTCTTCAAGACCATACCATGATCCAACGTGTTTGTGAGTGAAAACGTGGTCAATATTTCTAATACTAGAAACTAAAATTATTTGTACTGTTGTAGAAAAATTTTGTTCAACATTGATTCAGAGACAGAAAAAACAAAACAGTTTAATAACTTCAATTAATTATTCTTTTTATCAAAGGTTTTGGTTGAGATGAAAAAGTAAGTGTCACGAGCAGGATTTGTACCCTGACCTTCTACTCAAAACGCTGCTCATGATAGTTATGATAGCTCAAGTGGTTAGAGCAGCTATCGTGACTATCATGAGCAGCAGCGTATTAGCCAAAGGTCGTGGGTTTGAATTCCGCTGTGACACTAACTTTTTCAGACCAAAACCTTAGATAAAAAGAATAACTGTAATAATTATTATAGTCAATTAAGACCTCTAAACATATATGGATTAACAACTTAATAACTTAATAATTATTAATAAACTGGTTTTAATAACACAGCTTCCAATTTATGTAGTTTATTGAAGTTACAGTTTTCTTATACTACTGAATATCATTGTTCCTGTCAGGAAAATTTGTTAAATTAATAGTAGGATAATTTTGGACTAAAACCAAATTATTATTACTCAATTTTCAATATAAAATTATAATATAGAAGGCGGATATAAATTATATTGTGATGATTAATGGAGTAGTGTGTGATTTTTTGCCTTTCATTTTATTTAAAAATAAACGTATTAATAAAAGACCAAAGGAGTTTAATTTATAGATGTATAACTAATTGTGTATGTATTTATTGTGAATGCTTAATGTTATTCCATCTTGCTGAATGTGAAAATACTAGTAAAACATGAAAGTTTAATTTTTAAATAACAGTTTGTTGAACTCCAACAGATGTAATAATATATCAAGCAAAATATTAAAACTTTGCAATCACAAAAGAAAAATGCAGTTATATGCCAGAACCCATGAAACATACACAAAAATCAAAAGTTGAACAAAAAATATACAGAATAAGAAAGTTGCTACATTATACAAGATAAGAATAGTGCTGAGGTGTACAAAGGCCTACAGGATGACATCTGCACACTCTTTACAACTCATACAACTCATCGCCTATGCCCAACCTATCAATATTGTTATTCAAAGGAGTAAAGTATTTTGGTAAATCAGACGGGCAACAGCTGACCTTGCCAGATACTGAGCATCACGAATAGCATAGCTAAGATGTGCTCTGGAAAATCAACACTCGCTTTTTATAAAAAAAAANAAAAAAAAAAAAATGAATGGAGGGAAGTTGGCAAATCTAATGGGAAAATCAAAACACGGATAGACTAGTTCAATAAGAATAGAAGAGAGGGCAAAAGCAAACCTGATGCTTCATGATTTTTATGCATTGCAAATTTTAACAAGACATGAGGATTTCAAAGCAAACCTTTTCTAAGTATAAAAGAGCTGACATCCTCCTCCGTATGTCAAATAGAAGGTATGGAATGTTCTCATGTGTTCTACAAAGAGAAAGGGGAAAACTAGCTTTATTTCCGAACAACTGGCCCCAGACTTGAAAAAGTATACAAAAGAGAAAAGCTGCTGCTTCAGTGCCTTTAAATCTTTCAATGTGGGTCCATGTTTATACGAGTTGGGTAAATATTTCTAGTCATGTAGTTACGCATAGGTATGCATATAAATTTATTATAAAAAAATTTAATATAACATATTCATGTAGCTGTGTGTTATTTGTCTTGTATATTGGATAAATTTTTCTTGTTTTTGCATGCCGGCTAGAGTCCTCTGCATCATTGCTGGGAAACTAGGAAGAGGAAACCCATTAGGATATTAATTAATCATATTATTAAATGTAAAAAAAAGAAAAACCCTTGCATCCTTCAAGCCCTGCCTTTAATCAGGTAGACCCGAGGAAGGAGTTAATTTCACTGCCTCTGTTTTGAACCAAAATTTTAGTTAATTGGCTCAGGCTGCCCACGGTCTCCTTACGGTGGGGGAGGGGGAAAAAAGAGTAATGAATGATACATTGCCATTACCTGGAGTAATATGAAAAAAAGCAGCCAAATATATTTAAATTAAATTGATTTTTTTTTTCATATGGGCTTCTACAAAAAAATATGGTCTTCTAAGTGTTAATTTTTTTGGGGGGCGTTGTATGCCGGCTCTTCACTATGGCATTGCATGGGGGAGGGTTCCTCTACGCAGCACTGTCAGGGTGTTTGAGCTGAGGGGGAGCGTGGGAAGTGTGAAAATCTTTGTGCATTATGTGTTTGTTTTCTTGTTCTTTTAATAGTAATTTGATATACCTCTCTGAGGTTAGCAAGTTAAGAAACCAGGAGACAATGACAAACGCCAAAGCAGAAATAAAAAAAGAAGAAATTTTCTTTTAATGTGCAGAGGGCTGGTGATGACCACTTGATGTCAGCCTATAAATAATTTATACTACTAAATGTTAATTTACTTTGATTATAAAAAATATTGATATTTATAAGAAATGGATATCTGAGTTAGTTACAAAATATGTTTTATTGATGAACATTCTAATAATTTGATGTCTAATGATTTGATGGATTTTTATTCTGTATCCCCCCACCTTTAGGCTGTTTAAGTGAACAAGCAAGTTGATCATTTTAAAAACTCAACAAAATGAAATATTTTCAGCATTTTAAAATAAAATAACTACTGTCAATAATGAATTGAGTGAAAATATAGAAATATTTCATCAAAAAAGTTATCCAACGTATAAAACAGTAATAATTTAACAGTGAACAAAAAAGAGTCTGAGAGTGGTAATTTGCTCTGCACTAATTTGCAATAATTGAGCAAATGAGAGCTTTCGCCAAAAAAACTGAACACAAGAGTTGAAAACAAAAATATATTTAATAAACAATAATCTTGTGCAATGAAAGTAACGAAATCATACATAGTTTTTAAACTTTTGATAACAGTGCTTCACTATTATCATTACAGACAAGACTAGTTTAGAACTTCCATTAAAACATATTATAGATGGTTACATCTAATTTATTTTTATGGAGATCCATAACAAGATTAATGTACTAAAACTAGATAAAAATAAATAAAAGGCACTTTTTGAAATTGCTGTCGCCGATAAATAAAACTATATCCAAAAATAATAAAAACAAACAAAATTAAATTATATCCTACTCTAACCTAACATGTTATAATTAGGTTCACAATAATTGAAAATTAAATTAAAATCTATTTAAAACAATTAATAAAAATCAATTCTTCAGTTGTCTTATTATCATTCTTGTCGGTCGTTATTTCAATTTCTTGTGCCAACTCCAGTTCCTTTTCCTCTGAAACCAGTCCCTCATACAATTGCTCTATAATGACATCCTTGTTGTCCGATGGCTAAAAATTAATTCAAGATCAGATGTTTTGTCTTCGAAATGGCTTCATGTTGGCTTTTGAAGTTAAAATCAGGCTGTTTACACGATTTTAATGAAAATGATCATTTTCTCGAGAGTCTTCGGCTTTAAACATTATCTGGATAGAATGTATAATGGAAAATGTTTACTTCCAAATAACCAACCAAAAAAAAAATGTACAGAGCTGCAACTATATATATTGCAGAACTTATGAGGCCAACAATGTTTTAAATAATTAAATAATAACTCAGTTCATTTTTTGAAGAATTTAGAATATCTGATTTTCTAACTATATAATGACACAATATACTGTTCTAATTCATTGTTTTGGGTTTTAACAATGCTGTCAACAATGTTTTAAATGCTTGCTTTTGTAAGTAAAACGATGTGTAACTGTGGTCTTAGAAAAAACTAACAATTTGTTAAATAAACAAAACTCTTATCCAACCATAAAAGCAAACAACTGAGTGAACGGAAAGGGCAAAGTCCACACAGTCAATTCTTATGATTAACTGAGCGTCAAAAAAAGAGGCCATCCTATAAATATTTTTACTTCCAAATTCACTTTTAGAAGGAAAATAAATTTATTTTCACTCTTTTAAATAAGTTGAGACAAATGGGACACAACTAAACAAAACATTTGAAAGTCTACTAAAATCTATGAAAGTTGAAAGAAAAAAAAATCAGATGCTGGGCATTTTGGAATAATTAAAAATGTACTCAATTAATTAAAAATGTCTATGCAGAAAAAGTGTGAAAATATTCCTCATTATTACATCAGAAAAATATTATTATCACTGACATATTGAATTAGCTAGCTGATTAACACAAGAGGAGGAACTAACGAAATTTAGTTAACTTGTTTCTGTAGTAATAAAAATACTTTTATTACATTTTTCTGATTTTCCATTTAAATTCCATATTTTACACTGAAACTCATCTCTTAAGGGTTCCGGGTTCTAATCTCACCAGCCGAAAATTCGAACCTAGAGACTTACAAATGTTTTTTCTTTTTTGCTAAAACACCGTCATCCCCCTAATACTATTACGGAATCCCATTAAAAAAATAGTAAATTAGAGTATAGTTAAAAGAGTATAGTTTAAAACATATTTTTTCGACTCAAGGAATAATAACAAATGAAAACAATGAAAGGGGCCAAAATTTGTCATTACCATGTATTCAACAACAATTCTCTTTTAGTTACAAAAAACAAACAATTTTACCCTGTTAAAAATTAATTTAATTAATAAAATCAATTTAGATAACTGAAGTGTTCAAAATATTTGTTAAAACCAGTTATTACTAATAAATACCTTGATAGTTTTAAACACCTCAATTATGAAAAATGTAAATGCTGCATGTAGCATACCAATAATACAACAGACAACATGTAAAAATGTTATTTCAAAACCAGTATTATATTTTAAGAAGGGAAATGAAAATTTGTTTAAATAGAAATGAGTTACTCACCCCTTCGACTGCGGGTGAATAGAGAGGGTCTGTAGTTTGCTGTATCGGCTGTAAAGCAAATGAGTAGTCTTGTACTTCGCTCTCAAAAACGATTTGATTGTCTTGTGTCTGAAGATTGTTCCCTTGCTGAAAAGTCAGATATATCAGAGTACAGAAACTGCCTTTTATGCTTTTGAATGTGTTTTGTATTAGAAATTATAGTTTATAAATTTTTTTCTAACCTGATTGCCATTTACTACATAGTTATACACCGGAGGGTAATAAAGTTGTGTACAATTTCTGAAATCAGGCTGAACTTCATTTTGGTTATAGCACACCATTTGTTCCAATTCTGTCTCCGTTGCGCTTAACGTGTCAGAATTGGGCGAACATACAATCGGCTGCTCGATTAGATAGCTGTGGAAAAAGAAATTGAAATAATCTTTTGACTTTTATAATTGAGGAAATGTACACACTTTGTGTTTGGGGTCGGCGCCGTCTGAAAGTTCCCCCTTTCAGGAATTCGCTTCCAATAATCACAGTTCATAAAAGAGCCATCCTGACAGTGCTGCATCGGCAGATAGTCAATCTGATTTGATGGAGGCACATAAGAATATTCCGACTGTCCGACTTGGGGGAATATGTTCAGTTTGGGCAGCATATTGTTTTGGCCCATGTTGTGGTTGGGAGTGGCTCTAAATTGATATCCAGGTGCAATATGCTCATTAAGTTCTGGCCTAGTCTACAACAAACATTAAAAATTATCCCAAAATTTGTAAATATAAAAACAATACAAAGTAACTTTACATAAAATTTAAACGTATGTGATCATTACAAAATAAAAAGTACCTGAAAAGGCCGCGTATCTTGGATTCTGGGGAATTCTGATTGTTTGTACCCAATAATTTCATTCCTCATATTTCCATCAGAAACGCTTGCCTTATTCTCATACCTATGGCAGAAAGTAATTTTTCAATTGATTAAACGTTAGAATTAATCTTGTATGAGCCAATTAATTTTTTTTTGTTTATACTTAATGTTACTAGCTGCCTCAACTAGAACCAAGATACATTGATAAAATGAACAAGTAAAAGGGGTTCATGTTGTCATCTCAGTTTCTTGAGGCTATTAAGTCGGGCAGACCAAACCATCAGAATGGATCAGGATGATCACAAACGACTATAATTTTGTCGTGCATGCGAAAAACCCTATCCCATACATTTCAGGTGTGCTTGGGATCTCGGTCAGTTTGGAAAGACCTGAATACCTTGTGTATTTACATTTGCTCTTATCACTTATTAATTAATCCAAAAATTTTTTTATATTTTTTTTTTATTGGCCTTATGATCTTGCATATTAGCCATAGTACGAATTCTTGTGTTCAAATTGGGGGTTACCGGGAAAAAAGGGCCAGAGGCGACGGTGGGAATCGAACCCACGACCGCGGCGTGAGAGTCTCTCATGCTAACCACTCGGCTACCGCGTCCCCTAATCCAAAAATTATAAACATATGTATTCAGTTTTGACTGTGTCAATACTTGCACACAATCACCAAAGTCTTCGTATTACAAAAATTTCGCTTTGTTTAATAGGAGAATTTTCAATTTACTTTATTCTTTTATCTTGTTTTGTTGATAAGTTTGAATGCAATAAATATGTTTCAAGATCATTTATTTTTATTTGATTTTATTTAATTTTTTTTAACCTTATCAGCAGAAGAGAAAACTAAATTTTTTCATACTAAACACCCTTTTGGGAAAATAAAATTCAAAACGACCCAAAGGGAAATTTAACCTTAATGAAACCCCAATAACTACCACTGGCCTTGTTAGTATACATGAACTTTTCATTGAAAAACAAACCCAAAGTATTTACCCAAAATTGAAAAGACAAATGACGAACGCAAAAGACCCTTGAACAACGTAGACAGAAAAAAATTTAAAATGAAAGACAAAGACAAGATCTCTGTTAAATGACAGTCGTAAAATATGGAGCTTAAGAACGTACAACATACAAAAGAAAGAACTTATTATTTATCCTCAACATACATAGCATTTTATTTTTGTAAATTAAGTGAGATTAATTTATAAAGTAGCTACTGATTGAATTGAATTTAAATAATTTAATTTAAATTTTAAAATGACTGGTACCTTGATTTTGGTGAAAACTCATTGATCACAATTGGATTGTTAAATGGTTCAGTGCCGATTAGCTGATTTGTGGAACAATGGCTAGAATTTGCACCCAATTGCTGCAAATATTTTGTATTTAATTAATATGAAAAAGGGAATAAACTGATTGTATTTACTTGGTAATTATCTCTAGAGAAACCAGTGTCACGCATCTGTTGACTTCTGAGGACGCTTTCTTGCTGTGTTTTTATCATGAGCTCTCTTAAAGATTTATGCGGTAATGCCAGAAGCGAACGCAAATAACTGTCTTGAACGGAGTGGTTTTTCATTTTGTTGATCTGCTCCTGGAAAATCCTTACTGTTTGCAACTGGCGACTTTATACCAAATTCAACATACTTGAGAATCCATTTTATGGTAGGACCTTTTCATGCGGCCCAAGCTGTTTTTCTTTTCTTGAAATATGTTCAAGTGCTTGTAACCGGCATCTTTCCCTTCGAGTTTCTCAGACCTCCGTTTTGCCCGTTCAAGTTTCTGCTCCGAAAGGATCTTCGCAACAAGGTCTTCATTCCCTTCTTTTCGAGCTTGAATTATCTCGAGAAGCAAATGGTGCTGAAAATGCATACAAATAATTTTTTTTTAATGAAAAAGGCTAACTAAAAAGCTGTTCTACCAATTATGTGTATATATTAAGTATTTTTATGGAAATGGCTAAGTCAGTCTAAGCAGTTATTACAAAGATGCAAAAGAGTTTAAATCAAATTTGTAATTTAAATAAAAATTTATCCCTTAGTACTCACTATAACTAAGTAAATAACAATAAATAAAAACAAAACAAAAAATGATTCAATAATAGTGGTTACAATTGTGGGCAGAAATGCTGTATTATCTATTTATCTTTAAAATATTCTAAATAAATGATTTTTAGATAGAATAGGAAATAAGCTAAAAATGAGAATGATTATTCCAGGCATGCTGAAACTGCTTTTCTTAAAGTAGTCAATGTTGATATAAATGTTCTAAGTTTTAAGATGGGAAAAGGAAACAGTAAAGAGCTCATGACTGCCCCTTGTGGCACTCCATTTGTTTTTGGCCAGATACAAAGATGACATTTCTATTAAAATTGGTATTAATAAACTAATAACCTAAATACATATAGTGTTGATTTTTACTGCTCAGTTTTGTTTTCGTTTTATTCTGTTTTAGACTTTAATATACTTTAATATAAAAAGGAGGGAAAATTCAAAAGGTGGGGTTGAGGTGGGAAGTTGGTGTCCGAGTGGATCGAAGTCACAATAGCTCAAGTGGTAAGCAGCGGCATATCAAGCTGAAGATCGTGGGTTCGAATCCCGCTCGTGCCATTGACTTTTTTTATCTCAACTAAAAACATTAATTAATTGTAATATATTAATTGGTCAAGCGGACCACAAAATTAGTAACTTTAATATACTTTTATATATGTTTTGTTTTATGTATTTTTCATATTCTGTCTATTTCTGTTCATGTTCTGTGTATGTATTTTTCATATTCTGTTTATTTCTGTTCATGTTTTGAGTATGTATTTAGTGTATTATTTAGTTTTTGTTATAAGTATTACATTTTTTATATCATTTTATTTATTTAGATTAATGAATTTATATGTTTACTTGTAGTATTTATGTAATAATTAATTGAAACTCCATCAGATAGTCACCTTGCCTAATTAAGTTTATTTTCTTGTTTGAATTGTTTATATTTTTCAAGTGTTGGTGCAATAAACTTTATTATAACCTAAGTACTGATTACTGATTTATACAAGCTAAAGGTTTGCACATGCATGTCTTATACAGAGTGAGCGCATCCCTTCTTGCAGGCCACCCGCAATTCTAGCTTTTGTATTTTAAAATGAATGAAGCTCAAGAATCATCCACCCTGGGTGTTAGCAGTTTGGGATCAGACAGTCTTATCCGTCCAGCCACCACAGTTGGGCTCCAGACCCACTTGCACTCTCACTCACTATAAATACATTCTTTCATATTTACATGCCATTCACTTAGGGTGGTGGAATACTTGATATTCCTCCATCACCCTTCACAATGGGAAAAAGTGAATAAAAAGTGTTTTACGCAGAAAACAAATACTTTGAGTGAGCAGAAATACTTTGATTGAATATAAAAATATTTTTTTGCATTGTATAAATTCACTTTTTTTCCACATCCTACAAGTATTTGTTAAATTTAAACAATGTTTGTAAATCCCAGGCCCTGAAGATGATCTCAATAAAGATTGAAACGTTGGCACGATAAAGAAAATGTTTTTCTGAAACCTACATCACACCAGACTGCATCTCACAATTTCCGAATAATCATTTACTAACTGTCACTAATCACCACACTTCATAATAATGTATAAACTAATCAAATTGAGGGTCAATGGGATAATCAATGTTGTCCCATCAGCCCTCTCACACTACACATTTACACTAATAAATACATTCAGTGTCAATGTACACAAAGAAACACAAGACGAAATGTCTATAAAGTACTGTATACACTAAAAGAGTACTGTTTCCTCCAAAAATAGGAACATGGGACCCGGATACTTTATGTACAATTCTCAACCGGGTGGCATTTATATATACTCTCTATATATGGAGCCAACGAGTAGCATTCTTCAGTCAGAGGGACACAACCATTCACTCAGGATGGTGGAATACTTGATATTCCTCCATCACCCTCCACTTGTATTATGTAGAAGGATCAATGGGGTACTCAATATTACACCATAGATCCGCTCACACTACATATTCACGCTAATAAATTCATTCACTCTCAGCACACGCCTGGGACACAAAAGTTATCAGTATTATATGCAATACCTGCACACTTGTTGTTTTTCAATTATTGATTGAAGGATTTTTTTAACATTTAAGCAATAAAAGGGTTGTTTCCTTTAAAAATAGAAACGGGAGACCCATATACTCGCTGTCGTGCTCAAGCACGATTCTCATTTATTTGTTATTATTTGTTAATTAATAATAATATAAAGCAAGTTAGTTTAGTTTTATAATGAACATTAATTTCGATGGATATGGTAGAAAAGGGTTGCTTATTACCTTGTTGTTTTATATACGTCTGTTATTTTATGTTGTGCATTATAGTTAAATAAATTAAGTCCTTATTTAGTACATAAATTATCAAAATTGGGATTTACCTTCGGCGAATGTTCGGTTTTCTATGAAATATTTGGAAATTTACTTGATCATTTTATCTGGAATTTGTGTCGAGTGCGAGTTAGCGTAGAGTGAAGGATGAAGGACGAAGGACGGCGAACTGGAAAGAACGAATGAGTGAAGACACCGGCGAGAGGCCATCCGCTCATGGAAGAGGGCTTTATTTTGTTTCCCTTTTTCCCTCTGAGTATTAAACAAATAAATAAATAACTGGCGGAATAATCCCTTGGAATAGAGGCGGGACTCTGGAGGCTAGGGGATTGTTAATTGTAATAATGTGTACAAAACAAATGGGCCGGCCGATGGCCTACCTTCAAGTTGCCGGGTAGCTGCAGCTTCTTGGCGATCGCCTGCAACTCCCTGTAATTCATTTTCTTGTCGATGTTCAAGTCCATCCTCGGCCGGCTTTTGAAGAAGGGCGGATTGTCGTAGGACGATGAAAAGGATCGGAAGATCGCCTCAGTCCTCGGCCCGGCCACTCATGAAAAGACATGCAAAACCGGCATCCCGACAAAACACAGTACAGTCAACGTCCAATTAACTCCTTCACACACCTGTTACTTTTCAATTATTGATCGAAGGATTTTTTTAAAAACATTTAATAATTTATAAAGCAAAAGATAACGGCGAGACTTGTAAGGATTCCAAGAAGCGCTTACAGTCTCATCTGTAAACCATTCCATCAAAGAAATTTTTATTTTGTAATAAAACTAATTTTTAATTCCCATCAGTACCCATTTTTAAATAAAAAAATCGTGATTTCGGATGATCAACAGAGAAAGTTTTTTTGTTATATTAAAAATATATTTACAATAGATACTGATTAATGCAAATACAAGATAAAAACAATAAATATGTATTTAGGCAGAAAAAAATACAAAAAATATTAAGCTCTGACCCTAAATGCAATAAAAAAATGATAGAAAGTGGCAGCTCAATGGGTCGGATCAATAGAGAAGCTTTCGTGCTTATATAGTTGATAGCTGGCTCTCAGACGACTTACAAGATTAAGAATAGGCCATGTGAGGTTAACACGGCTGACTTTTGGGCCAAAACTTGTGTATCTGTCTGCAGAGACAGTGTGCTTGGTCCGAAGTCCTGCTTACAAGTCTATGGTATACAATCAAAAATGCTTTTTCATTTTCTAAAACCTTTTTTAAATTAACAAATGTGTTTATTTCAACAACTGTAACATAAATTTATATTACATATTTCAAATTACCTAAATTACTAAAGACAAAAATATTAATGTAACAGTGTTAATCGTTGTTATCCTATAAAATTGTAATTGAGCTTAACTTATATAAATTTGTTATGAAGATTGATTGTAACGTTATTTGTTGCACATCACATTTCAAAATATTTTCATGAACTTCACATTTAGAATTACAAAAATTTAAAGTTTATAATTCTATTTTTTTTCTTGAAAAATTTGAATTGTGAAAGAATGAGTCGGCTTTCTACCTCTATAATTTCATTTCCTTAGCAGTGTTCTTTCATTTTTCACAATTATTTTTGCGTTGCTATTTATATGCACAAAAGATTAATAATGTACACTGGGGACGTCTCAACCTTGGGACTTTAATCACCACAATCCGGGGACAATCCGGCCCCCTGACACTAAAAATGCAACAAAAAACATGATTTAAAGAAAGTGGCAGGTGGGCCTGATGGCAGGCTCTCATGTATCAAGAGCAGTTTGGTGGTGGTCCGCGGAAGAACTGCCTCGTAGAAGGATCATCCCAACTGATTAAGGATAGGCCATGCCAGGTTGACATATGGGCACTTACTTTTGGGCCAAAGCCTGATTGTGTGAACAGCATGCAGAGAAAGGTAGAAAGATTTTTCCCACCTAATTGAGGGTGCGACTCCTCGGTTCCATATAGAGAGCTTGTAGTAATGCCATCCAATATGATAATTGTCCTTGAGCAAGGGAGGGTATCAGGGTCCTCAGTTCTGATTTCTTGGAAGAAGGGTTGTTTTATTGTATCTAGTACTGATAGTTTTATGTCTCTGTGCGGAGAGTGAATGTATTTTTGGCTTGAATGTAAAATGTAAGTGGCTGATGGTGGAATATTCATTACAACAGGGGCAACAGTAGTTTTGCCAGGATCTTACTGATTATAGGTAAAAGACCAATTGGTCTATAAGAACTAGGAAGGTGGGTTGTTTTAGTTAGGAATACTCTTTATTGAAGAGAATTTCCATAGGATTGGGAATTGGGTGTAGCATTGGATAGCGTTGAAGAGATTTGTTATGAAAATGATTGGTTTTTTAGAGTTGGGACAATAGAAATAGTAAGTCTAAGCAGGACTTTTCATTTTTTGTAGAGGGCCATCTCTAAGTTCACAAAATAAACTTAAGCTTTGAATCTTGTTAATCAATTTTCTGGCTTTATATTTAACATTTGGTGTAGTTGTTTCTTTGCAATTTAGCTAAGAAATTACCCATTTTGGTAAAAGAACTCCTTAATTGAACGATATCACAATAAATTACAATATAGATTGAATAATGTTTAATAATAATTTCTATAATTGGACCAGTATTTAATAACAATATTTAATCTAGAAGAGAAGTGTTTGGAATATATGATTTATTAACAATTATATAAGATATTGATTTACAAATTATTTAGTTAAAAAAAAGTTGAAAAACTATTTTAATTTATTGTTACAAAGAATTCATAGCGATGACAAATATGGCTTACATTATTTTTATCCTTTTATATTTTAGAAGTTATTTTTATATTGTTATATAGGTCAATTGGAAGATTAATTGAGAGTCCTTCATTCATCATTAACTTTAGTTTCATTTTCCTGAAATCATAAATTGAAAGTTGTAGGCTCAGTAAATCTTTAGTTACAAATTGTCGATCAACCTTTGTTGGATCTAAGGACCAAAGCTTGAGCTTGGATTTCACCATGAATGTTTTTTGCGATGCATGTGTAAACACCTTCATCCGACTCCCTCATGCTCACTATTTGCAGCCAAGAAGTAATCATGAGGCTTTCTGGGCCACCTCTCAACTGCACCGCAGTCATCTCATCGTCACCTAAGGTGACAACATAATGGCAAATTATTTTTTGGAATCATTTTATGTTCAATGTACTGACCTGGCAGGACCCTACTCTGGCTCTGAGTACCGCTGAAGTGCCATTCGACTGAAGGCACAGGCTGGCCTTTGACTTCACAGTCTAAAGTCAAGGGCTGTCCTATTTGCAGTTGTTGGTTCGAAGGAGCAGTGACAATTAACGGTGCTGAAAAAATATAAACGTAATAAAATGCTCATTGAATTATTTAAAGAAAAAAAAATCTTACGCATATCGCATGCTCCCATTTTTTTGACTCCAGCATTTGTTTTCATGTTCAAATCACAGACTGATTTGTAGGTGATGCCATCATGTCCACACACCGGCCGGTTGTCCCCTTTGCAAATACACACTCCCCAGCCTATCTAAATACAAATTATTTATTAATTTTCCTTACTTTGTTAATTATTTTACATTAATATTTTGTACTGTATATGTTTGATAATATGTATAATTTATAAATATACAATAATAAATTATATAGTACATTTATGAATATTCATAAATTTTGTTTAAATAATAAATTATTCAGGTTAATCTAATAATCTATTTAGACAATCCTAACCCAATTAAGGATAACCCATGAGAGCTAGACTCATGGACACTTACTTTTGGCCCAAAAAATGCAGAGAAAGGTGGCGTGATGGGTTCCACACATTGAAGGATTTAATTCCTAAGCTCTATATAGAGAACGACATAGGAGTGCCACCCGATATGATAAGTGATTATCTGGGTCACCGGTTTCGATTCTTGGAGGATGCAGGGTTGTTTTATTGTATAGAGTACTGATTGTCTGGCACTAGCATGTGTTGAGCGTGAATGTATTTATTGGTGTGTGAGAGGGGCAGGCAGAATAATGATCTCATTGATCATCAATTAGGTTAGTTATATTGTTATTGTAGGAATATCCAGTACTCCTCCATCCTAACTAAGTGAATGGTTTGTAAATAAGAAGGAACATATTTAAGAGTGATGGTAGGAATGAGGTCTGCCTGCCAGCTCAAGACTGACAACTCCCGGGGTGGGTGATTCTTAAAGTCTGCTGGTAATTTATTATATATTACAAAAGCGGGAATTGACGATTGACTGTAAAAAGTGATTGGCTAAACTCTGTACTTGTGTATATGTATGTACATGCATGTGCGATTTGAGTGTACATAAATCAGTAATCAGTCTTTAGGTTATTAGTTTATATAGAATTTGAGTTTTTAATAAAAACGTTGGACATTAACAGTCATCGTTGTATCTGGCTAATTACATCTGGAGTGCCACAAGGGACTGCCTTGAGCCCTTTACTATTTCCATTCCCAATCCGTAAACTTAGAACCCAGAAATCAACATTAATGCAATTCACTTTCGTCCGGAAAATATCAGTGCTGTTTCTTCACAACCAGTTCTGACAATGCATACCTTAGCCTTAGTCATTAGACATGGGCAGGTCATATCAAATACTGGTTGCCAAAGAATAAAAACACGTTTTGAACCGTTGAGCTCAAGACTTGACTTTGAACTCACCCCTCTTCGAACCAAACAGATTATTTATTTACCCCTGATTCGCTCAATGTACACCTATCCCTAGCAATTATTATGAATTATTAGCCAAGGCCATAAACAATAAAGAGAGGACAAGAAAGAGTTTTTAGAACATAGGTGCACCATGGTACACGAGGACTCAGTAGTGCGTTAGACCTAAAAATCCAAACAGTACTTCAAGAAATTAAATATTTTTATAAAAGTGTGTGGTGTTTAGTGACCAATGATTATTTGGAGATCGTGAGATGCGGTCTGGTGTGACGTAGGTTTTAGAAAAACATTTTCTTTATCGTGCCAACGTTTCGATCTTTACTGAGATCATCTTCAGGGCCTGAGATTTATCAACATTGTTTAAATTTTACAAATACATGTAGGATGTGAAAAAGAAAAACTGAATTTATACAATGCTAGACGTTTTAGATTCACTCAAAGTATTTGTACTCACTAAAAGTGTTTGTTTTCCGTGTAAATGTGCTATTTTTCTGTTCTTCTGTGTCGTGTTGAGAGTGCAGGTGAGATATTGACGTTTTATGTTTATATACGTTGGATTTTGAAGGGGTGGGGTAGGAAGTCGGGGTAGAAAAACATTTTTCTAGGAGGGGTCGGCTTCTTTGAGGTGAAAGGATTAATTTATGTGATAGGCCGTGAATGAATGGCATGGAAATGTATTTGGTAGATTTGATGTAGTATTATTAGTAATAATAGATGGTGTTAGTGTTGAGTTGTAGTTGTTGATTATTCTGTTGATTATATTATAATCTATCTTATATATTTTTATAAAAGACTCAACCTGCACCCTAACCCTATGATGGTCCAAGCTAGGAATGGTGTGCAACGGAGACCGCACCGCCAACTAAAAAGAGCAGCTACAAGACAGAAATGATCTTATTTAAAATTTATCACAATTATGCCGAGTTATGCTTATTGAAACTAAACATTTGCCTATTTATAACAAGTGTAAAGCTATTAACTAATTGTATTGTAATGTTTAAACGGCCACTACTGCGTTCTCTTTGCTTTTCAATTGTAATAAAAGGCAAAATATAAACTACACTCACAGACGTGTCGCAGAAGAGCTCATCACCGCAGGGCTCGGTCGGCGAGCATGATTCGCCTTCATTTCTTGCACAGATGCCTTCTTCGCAGCAGCCGCAGGGGTCTTGGACGCGCGGTTGGCATTCTTGAGGGCAGCTTTCGACATTGCACTCGCCGCAGTCCAAAGAGCTCGTCCCGCTCGCAAAAATGAAAGTCGCAAATAACAGAAGGCCCAACATTTCGCATCGATTCAATCCATGAAACAGGCCTGGACTTATAATTTATAGATTCCCCTCCCTGGCTGGCATCGTTCTTTTTTAATTAGTGCTTTGCGTGGTCGTTCTTGGATTCGGGGAAAACCTGATGCCAATCTAAAGGAAAAAAAATAGAATGAATCGCATTTCATCCGCAACACATGTAGCCAACTCAAATATAATCCATAATCCAATACCCTAGCGCCAAAAAAAATCTAGTCTAACGGTATTCTATTAAAATTAAACACATACTTTACGCGTTATTTTTCACGAAAAAAAGGAATATTTGCAATTTGGATCTGCAAGAGATTAAGCAGATTACGCAGTAATGAAAGTTAGCAATTATCGGTAAAATGCAATTATTAATCATACAATCCCCGAAGCTACTTAATCAATTTAGATTACTTACAGAGGGTCCAAAAAAAAGTATTGGCACATCCCATTTTTTCTTAAAATTAAAAAACATTAAGGTTAATTGTTTGATTCTATATTTATTTAAAACAAGCATCTAACTATTTCGATGTCAATAAATTGGGCGAATTAAAAATAAGATAAAAATAATAAATAAAAATATGAATTTCAAGGGTCAAAAAGTATTGACACATTTGCTTCCTGCTTAATTTTGAATTATCCTACGAGAAACGTTGTTATCCTTAATTTTAATCCTTTCAATCTTAAATAAACACAAACAAGGATGAACGTTTTTATTCTAAATTATTTTCTGACGAGTTCAGTGATAATGATTAAAGACCTAATTCCAGTGCAATTGCATAATTTTATTGCAATGGAACCAAGGCAGAAATTCGAATCATGAAAAGGGCACCCTTTTGACACTACTCTCATTTTGCACGAAATTGCACGTTTGGTTTACTGCACAAAATTTCATGTTTACCTATTTTTTATGTTTATTATTATTGTTACGTATAAAACAACGTGAAATACATCAAACTACGGAGCATCCCAAACCGTGGTATGCGGACTCCAGGGGGGGGGGGAGTCCGCGGCGTAAGGTCCGGTTCACACGGAGGTGATCGGCATGGGAGACGCGTGATGCCGGTTCGAGATACAAAAAGTATCCAAGCGACTCTCCTGGCGACTAGATTCAGTCGCCTCCTCCTTATCTCTTCTCGATCAACTCCCAAACGGTTTAAAGACCTAAATGTTTGATTCTGTCATAGTTTTACAATGGATGAGCTAGTTCCTTGTCATTTAATTAAACGAAAAACAAGTAAAAATAGAATAATGTGAGTCCACCACATTTCGCCCTGCATTTTCTTTTTAACTTTATCCGCTTAATCGTGGTCACTGTTGTTCCAAAGCGTGGGATATGTTTTAATGAAACTCGTTTGTCGTTATCCAAAATGTCACTTCTATCCTTTTTTTTTTTTAATTGAAAGAAGGCGCATGAAAACAAGAGCCGGACGGAGAGATCTGTTCGATACAGTATGAACTGTGTGAATGACACCTTGCTGCTAATGTCCCGTCAGTCGCCTTCATAGAGAAAAAGTAGCAAGCACCGAAGATCCCAAGCGACTAAAAATCGTTATCCATACCGGTCGCCGTCCAGTCTCCCGGTTGACTCTCAAGTCGTTTACTGCCGTGTGAAGACTTTCTTTGCTGGTTTAACACCAGGTTACTTGTGGACGGGAGGTCAGTACGATATTAGAACCCGAGGAAGCAGAAGCACTTCTCGTGCTTGTTCTTCTGCAAAAAGAGAAGCAAAAAGGAGGAAGCCCAGTTCTGGTCCGTTGATCGTTTCCTAGGAATTTCATTGTTAATACTGGGGTCTTTCATTACCGGGAACTGCTGCTTCTTGAACACCCTGGATTTTTCCAATGTTGTGTATAAAAAGCAGTTGTTTCTCGAAAACGTGATTCAAGCTCAAACTACTCTCGTGAGTACACTATCTATTTGGCCTATTCTCATTGATCAGTTTGACCACAATATGGATCGGTGGCTGAAGTCAGGATCTCTGAGGAAGCGTGCAGTTTTTTCAGTCACCTAACAGCCAGGTCAATTCCGAATTGGAATTGATGTGGCGGAAGGACATCCTTACAAAGAGGACATCACTGACGATATCTTTATTACACTTTTTTACTCGTTTTTGAGTTTTTTTACACGATGTTGCACATTTCTAGGCTTATATTGCACGTTTTGAAGGTTTTTACTGCACGAAAATCCAGTCTTTAATAATGATAATGGATAAAATACGAGAACATTGTGTGTCATTACGCTTTCATGTCGTTAAATCTCGCAGTGAGTTATCGTGAAATTGCAAATCGACTATGTATGAGTTTAAGCTGTTAGAAACATCATAAAAAAGAAGAGACGGGTTCAGGTCCTAAAGAAACGACATTATAGGCGGAAATTAATGTTTTCTCAAGGAGAAAAAGAAAAATTTGCAATACCCCCTATTTCTGCTATTAGCATAGCCTCATCAAATTCCAAAACAACTTTCTGCGTGCAGAAAGTAAAGAATATAATTCACAGTTTTAGTTATTATGGCGGGGTTCAAAAAAGAAACCGTTTATAAAGGTCAATCGCAAAAAAAGTCTAGAGTTTGCAAAATCCTATATACATGTACCGGTAGAGTTTTGGAAGAACATAATGTTTTCTAGTTGAAAGCAAGTACAGTATTATCCGTTTAAAGTATGTAGAAAACCAAATACAGTAGACTATCGTTATCTGTGCTCTTATTCATTCGCGGTTGTCTGCCTAGTTCAGTTTTATCTTTTTTAATCCTCTAATAATTTTTTTCCCATTTGTTTCGATGACGTGCATAGGAATAAATTTTGTGTTTGTTAGGTACTGTACTTTGTATTTTTATTGGAAAAGAAAAAACACAACAACACAACACACAACAACCTAAAATATATTTACATAAGTTCAACATCACATTGACGATACAGAAAGTGTCTGATTGGTTTAAAGATAGAAGAAAGTGCTTCGAAGCCTGAAGTTCGAGTTGTTTCCCATTGTTCCCATGTTCTCGTTATCCGCAGTTATAACGTACGTATCCCCTGTGGATTACGAGCCAACTGTACAGCATTTGATACGACTACTGTCAAACTTATAATGAAAGACGGTAATTTTAGTGTCTGCTTGTCATGGAATGGTGTTGGGTGTTGGAAACCTAAGGTTCATCAGTGATATTATGTGTGCAGACAAGTATGCTGATATTCTGCGCCATAACTTGATGGAAGATCGTCGCTTTTTGCAGTTGTTTTTATTGTTACAATCAATAATGATAAGCAAGCAAAATAACGAAGTAATACAATTGCAACAGAATCTTTAATTCCTTATTTCGTTAAAGGTCAGGGCTGGATAAACTATTCGCTCTCATTGTTGGATGTCGGTCACCACACTGAGAAAAATTGGATTGTTGTAACATACTACTGAACAAGTTAGACATCCCAGAAGAATGAATTTCAATACATTTACGAGGCTATGGTTGGGTGACAGTTACATACATCTTCCAGCAAGATAACGATCCGAAGCACACCACCAATAAAACGAAGGAATGGTTACTCTATAATGTTCCGAGGCAAATTAAAACTCTACCCTAATCACTAGCATTTGTGGTACTTGCTGGACTTTGTGGTACGAAAAAAAATCTTCAAAACAAAAGCTACAAACTGTTGTATTACAAGAATAGAATTAAATTGGACCTGAAATGACCCACAACCTGGAATCCTAGATGCCACGAAGACTTCAGAGCGTAATTGATGTAAATGGTGCAGGAATCAAATATTAAGAGTGTAAAAATTTTGTTAAAAAAACGTTTCTACTGGTATTTTTTGACTCTTGACACTCATACTATTATTTTTTATTTTATGTCTTTTAATTTTAATTTTAATTCACTCAATTTATTGCCACGAAAAATCAATAGTCGGATGTTAGTATTTAAATAAATTTAGTATCAAACAATTAACATTTATATTTTTGAGATTTATAAAAAAAAGTGTGGTGTGCCAATCCTTTATTTTCAGTGCCTGTCAAAATTATCTGCGAAGAAATAGCGATTAGCATGAGTGAAACTGCAGATAATGTGAATATAAAACATTTCCTCTAAAACAAAAAAGCTAAAAAGGTCTGTTTTTATCCAGGCCCTTAAAACAAAAATTTAAAGTCAGTTTAAAATGTCCTGGGTTTCAAATTTGTACTACCCGCTGTTGTCGATGTGCAGGATCTTAAATATGATAAAATTTTCTTTTGTTCGTTCATACAAGTTTCTTTTGTAAATTTTCTAATACTACTCGAATTTTGCTTCCTGTCGGTTTATCTATTTATATCATACTCTGTTCGCAATTTTTCTCTCTAAAAACCAGTTTCAATTCATATGTTTGACTCATATTTACACATTTAAAATAAAATAATAAAATAAATTGAAAATTGGTAAAATGCGATGGTTATGAAGCTGTAGCTGTAAAGATATATTATTTTAAAAGTAGCTTTTTAACTGGAAGTAAACTTTAAAAATAAAAAATATTGTTTTTTTTTCGATCTCCTAAATTTCAAAGTTACAAACTAATCTAAATCAGAAATATTTCATTAAAAGTTGGTTAATTATGTTAGTTACTAGTTATATGTAGAGACTTGTTTTTTTACCTTTAAACTGTCTGTAATGTTTTGGTTTCAGCTTGAATATAGTCAGAAAACAAAAGCTTTGGCGGTCTTCGTAAATAAAACACAATGGTAAATGAAAGTGTCCAGCTTCCCAGATTTGGTCAAGTCCTTCGCCTAATCATATTCCATCTAGCCGAAGCTGATCTCACTTATCCGATGATGATCGGTTAAATACGTCTGTTCTCCCAGCAGGAAACATCAAGTCGTTAACATTTATCGACTGTTGACCCTTATGACATATCAAGCGATAAAACGTGCATTCAGCGATAGGACTAAGAGGTCATAATCTTGGCGGTCACTCGTACAAAAATATCCGGCTCTGGTATAAAAATCATAATTTTTCTTGTAATCAGTTCATCGGGAGAAGGTCTTCAGAGTTGTTTTTAGATAAACAGGATTGATATTCGTTTGTTAAACGTTCGAGATGATGGTCTGCCGGATCCAAGGATTTTTAAATTCGGTCTACAGCGGGTGAAGGGTCTCAATCATCACTTGAAACTATTAAAGTGCGAGCAATGAAGAAATCCTGGTAAACTTGAGAGACTAATACTTAAATCTATATTTAAAAAGCAATTATGAAAAATGAATCCATAAATCTTTTTGTATAAACATAGATTCAACGATAATAAAACAGTTAGTGTCACCAGCGGGATTCGAACCCACTTAATTAATCTTTATGTAAGGTATTGGTTGAAATGAAAAAGTTAGTGTCACGAGCGGGATTCGAACCCCCCTGAAAACCTTAATTAATTGAAAGATTGTTATTTGTGATGAACAGTGGATACTCTACGATAACAGGAGACGTTCTGGACAATGGAATGTGGCAGAAGTAACATTTCATTCTCCAAAGCAAGCAACTCATAAAAAAAGGTAATGGTGACTTCTTTGATGGGCTTCAGGTCTGATTTACCTTAGTTTCTTGAATCCTGGCGAAACAATCAACGCCGAAATGTATTTCTTTCGAATTGAAGCAATCGACCTGATTGACATCATTGAAGCCATCTTTGGTCAGTCGGAAAAGGCCAATTCTGTTAAACGATAACGCTCGGACTCAGGTCTCACATGTGACACACGAAAACTGTTGGATCTTGGTCAACAGGTTCTGCCTCACCTTCCAAATTCTCCAGACCCCTCGCTTACCATCTACCATTTTTTCTCTACCTGGACAATGTTTTACAACATAAAAAATATATTGATCAAAAGTCATTAGAAAATGCGTTTACAGAATTTGTTGATAATAAAGGCTCCAAATTCTTTTCGAAGGGTAAAGAGAAGTTATCACGTCGGGAGAAGTGTGTTGAAGGGTATTTTAATTAGTAAAAAAATGTTTGAAATCGTTTATTTAATTGTTTTTATTTTATGACCATAAACCTGCATTATTTTCTGGACAACCCAATAGTAGAGAATCCGAGCTAGAATGAAAAGTAATTAAGAAACTTAACAAATTAAAAGTAATTAAGCCCAATGGCGACTCGCGAATAGGAGTTATGCTAGCCAAACAAGAGAAAGAAAAAGAGGCCGGTGACAAACGACCAATCTGGAACAAATTTGCCGGAGTTAAAACACGCATCGATTCAACGTTAACTCGCATTTGCTTAAGTTTTTAATCCGTCGATTCTGTGAACCGTTCATACCACATGTTCTCAATTTTCCATCCAACAGGCCGATACTTGTTTTCCATATGAGCTTGCCGAGATTCATACGTTTTTCCGAATTTTAGTAAATGATTGGATTTTTGATATCTGTTTCTTCTCAGTCGTAGGCCCTCATTTTTATTACAGTTTTTGTAACTGTTATTTAATCTAATTGTAATTTGCCCGGTAGGCCATTGAAATTCGCACAAATTAATTGTTAGGGCCCCCCGCCCCCAACCACCCCTAACACAATTTTATAAAAGTAACGTTCTGTAGTTCGGTATGTTCCTGCTATCCTAGTCTGACAGATTCGGAATTTATTTAGGACAGATTTACCACTTAGAAGTCCAGTGCTGTAAAACGAATTAAACATTTACAGAATGTTAGCATTTGCAATTTTGCCCAGTTCGAAAAAATGGGCCATGATTTATTTTTTTGATGATGATTTATCTTGATTAGATCCGATAGACCGACACAGCGAGAACAGGCGGAGCAGGGTGACTACCAAACTCAAGGTTCATCACCCACCAGACCTCAATAAGAAATTTTTATACGTTGATTTAAACTAAAATCCGTGTTCGGCATCTGCCAAGTTAGTATAATTCAGGGCTTACCAAACTTTTTAGCCAGCTGACCCTTTTCACAGGACAAAATCCAGGGCGGACTCCTCTAATTCAAGTATTTCAAATTAGATACTGATGCAGTAATGTAGTAAATTAAAGTTTCATAAATTAGCCAGTCCATTTCTAATTAGGTGAGGGATATCACTATGAAAACAATCATTAGATTGACATACTTAACTTTATTTTAAAAAATCCGGAAAACAAAAATCAAATAGGACAGAGCAATCAATAGGTAGGTAGGTAAAACTCGAACCAAATTCAAAAGTAATAATTTGATCATTAATGATTAATGAATTAATAAGAAGAGTGGGGTTGTTTTAGCCTGCACAATTTGGAGTTTGGATTGAGTATAATTTCGATAGACAGAGGTTTAGCATCTAGACAGCTTTGATATTTAGTTTTGGCAGTATGGATAGAAAATAGAGATTCGCTTGTAATTGCGGTAAAGGGAAGAACATGTTTTACTTTTTCAATGAGCGGTTGATATTTTTTATTTTTCAGATGGTGCCAATAATGGGAGTAAGTATCGTACTCGAAAATAGATTTCAACGTTCTGAAGTAATTCACTAGTTTTCGTGGCCCGCTTGACCAATTAATATCTTTCAATTAATAAGGTTTTTAGTTGAGATAAAAAAGTCAATGTCACGAGCGGGATTCGAACCCATGACCTTCGGCTAGATACGCCGCTGCTCTACCACTTGAACTATCGTGACTTCAAGTCGCCGTGAAGTCACGATAGCTCAAGTGGTAGTGTTGCGGCTTATCTAGCGAAGGTCGTGGGTTCGAATCCCGCTCGTGACATTGACTTTTTTATCTCAACTAAAAACCTTAATTAATTCGTCGGCTTTGGCGAAACTGAAAACAGTTTTGCAACACATTCAAGGTCTTGCAGCATTGCATCTCGAACTGTTGGGAAGTAATGCTCAAAAGACATCTCCAAACTTCGAAGGTGTTCACATATTTCATCAATCAACGTGTAGTTCGCAAGCTCCAGTTTGTTTTCTATTAAAAAATCATTTAACAGAGGAAAACACTCCACATCTTCCTTCTCAACAGATTCAACCCAAAGTTGGATTTTTTTGTGAAGGCTCCAATTTTGTAGTTAGCATCGAAGCTTGTGATACTCTTCCCTTGCAAAGAAAGATTCGTTTCATTCAATTTCATGAAAATTCTGATAAATACGACGGTATACATTGCCATTTCTCATCGTTGAAAACTTCGGCCAATTCGACATTGTGGTCCATCAACAGAGATAAGGATTTAGAACGTAATTCCTGTAATCGTGAAACAGCACCCCATTTCTGTATGGAGAAGCAGGGAATGATGAAGTCTTGCCATATCACCATTCAGTATTGTGAAAAGTCTTGACTTCAATGGCCGCGACCTATTCGGGGATTTGTAGAATGTGAGCATGGTGGATGTTGCTGGGTGTTTCATCAGAATGCTATTTTTCATTTGACTTGTCAGTAATGTCCTTATCGGAACTTTGTCCTTCCGCTCATCAATTCCAATTGAGAGTTGTGCTGGCTATTAGGTGACTGAAAAAACTGCATGCTTCCTCAGAGATCCTGACTTCAGCCACCGATCCATATTGTGGTAAAACTGATCAATGAAGATCCCACAAGTAAGTAGTGCACCCACAAGAGAAGTTTGAGCTTGAATCACGTTTTGGAGAAACAACGGCTTTTTATGTACAACATTTGAAAAATCAAGGGTGTTTTAGAAGCAGCAGTTCCCGGTAATGAAGGGCCCCGGTATCAACAATGAAATTCCTAGCAAACCGATCCGACCAACCAGTTTAGTCCGGACCATCACATTTACTTTACGTTTGCAAAAATAAACGTATGATGAATAAATAAAAAATAAAAAAAACTCGTTGCCAGTATTTATTATTATTCGTTTTTTAAATTTTATTTATTCATTCTAAGTTTATTTTTGTAGTTATTAATTTTTCTCGAAGTCGGATTCGCTAAGGTATCCGCAGATCACAGTTTGGGAAGCCGCATATTTTTCGTATAATTAACTTAACAAAAACGCACAGTCCAACCGCCGCGCTGACAAACAAATTCATCCTGCAGTAGGGTACTAGTGGTTCTGTGTTATCGGTGCTACAACTAGAACTTAAACTTACATCAAAAATATTGTTACGTTACCTGGCGTAAGCGGTGAACACACTTACCCGAAGCAACGCTATGCGACGCTACCCGAGCCTTGTCACGTTTGGTAGGGTATGCACATCTATGCGACATCAAGCGCACGCCACGTACAGTCACTCGGCATGTATCACAAATCAGTATCGCAATCGCAACGCCTCTTTTGTTGTTATAGCATTATTTTGAGCAAAACCATGAAATAAATTGTTAGTTAAATTTTATGAGCAAAACCGTGTAATAAATTGTTAGTTAAATTTATACATCAAAAAATGGTATTACGGTGTTTTGATCAATTTTCTACCAAACCATTAAAATTAATAAAAAAAAAATTAATGAATTTTTGATTTCGGTTAATTTGGTTTATATTAAAATAAGTATGTTGTAATTAATATAACGACAATAATTCATATAGTTCGAACAAAAAATATGAGTGTCCGGTTCTTTTTTCTTCGACTGCACTCGATGCGTCCCGACGAAAATCTGGACAATGGGGATCGCGTCGCGTAGAATAGGGTAGCGTTGCGTGGCATCGGGCAGATTTGCACGGGCGTAATACAATCTTTCGGAAAATTGGACATTGGATTTGCGTCGGGTAGCATCGAGTAGCGTCTCGTAGCGTTGCATCGGGTGTATTCCCCGCTTTAGCGTCGAATGTACGCTCGCAGAACCATCCTCGTGCAAGTTAAGCGACTTATCTGGCAATACGGCTGCATCCTATGGTTATCTGAATCTTAGGAAATTACTATATAAAAGGTACAAAACTTCAGAAACGTCCCCTATAATCAATGGCCCGTGGTGCGTTCGGAACCTAATCGTATTTAATTAGGACCTAGAATCATACTCCGTACCTAGAAACACTGAAGAGAGGGATCTTTAGAACAAGCCGTAATTCATAGGCAAAAGTCGCAAGTATCTTACGTTGTTAATTTATATAAAAATAATAAATTGTTTTTCATTTAGATATTTCTTGTCTGATGTCTTTAGCGAGTAGGAATGTTAACCGATATGGGAATTATGCTTGAGCAGCAAGCCTTGGGATCTCTTCTGAACTTAATTATATGCCTTTTATGTTTTCTGTGCCGTAAGATTGAATGCATTTATTTCCGTGAAAGTGTAGCGTAAAGTGACGTGCGGCGGAATACTGACTACCATCGACCCTCAGTGTAAATAAGCCGGATATTTTGTGTACAGAGTGATGGAGAAATTGTTCTACTTGAGTGATCCGCATGTTTACAGGAAAGAATCCATTTAACAATGAGTGTGAAAGAGGTTAAAAACTACATGCGTACGGGATGAAAAGACCTAGATGACCCTTGGGACTAATTTCACTGGGCAGAACGGACAATACATTATTATTCAGAAATCGTGAAATGCGGTCCGGTGTGATGTAGGTTTCAGAAAAACATTTTCTTTATCGTGCCAACGTTTCGATCTTTATTGAGATCTTCAGGGCCTGGGATTTACAAACATTGTTTACATTTAACAAATACATTTAGGATGTGGAAAAGTGAATTTATACAATGCAAAATATATTTTATATATTCAATCAATGTATTTCTACTCACTCAACGTGTTTGTCTTCTGTGTAATTGTGCCATTCTTGCGTGTCTTGTTGAGAGTGCCAGTGAGATTTTGCTGTTTTATGTTTATACACGTTGGATTTTGAAGGGGTGGGGAAAGACGTCGGTATAGAAAAGACATTTTTGTATAAGGAGTCGGCTTCTTTGAGGTGAAAAGAACCGACGAAGGGAAAAAATGTGTTCGTAATGGTTCGGCCAGATTATCCTTTCAGGATTATATAGAAAGGGATAAATAGGAAAAGGAAAGCTAAATTGTTGGGAAATTAGACTATTAATTCATGCTGTGCTGATATAAACCATTTCTAAGAAATTACGTTTATGTTTGTTTTGTTTTGTGTGTAATACTTTTGGATTTTTGAAGTCGAAATTGTGTTGGTGTTCAAGATGGTGGGTAGCGAGTGCTGTAGGATTTTGCTTGGGTTTTTTGCAATCATGGTTATGTTGCTTTACTCTCTTGTCCAGATATTGGGATGCAAGACCGATGTAAGTTGCCGGACAGTTTAAACAGTTGATCTTGTAGATTACGTCAGATTTATTTGTTATTGGTGTGGGATCTTTAATTTTGGGAAAAAGTGTTTGGATTGTTTTATAATTTTGAAAGCTATTTTGAAGTTATCGGACAAGAGAAATGTGTTTAATTTATGTGATAGGCCTTGGTATGGAAATGTATGCTTTTATCTTGTTTGTATTCGATAGACGTAATGTAGTATTAGTAATAGTGGATGGTGTTGGTGTTGAGTTGTAACTGTTGATTATTCTGTTAATAATGTGTTTAGGGTAGAGATTGTTATAGAGGATCCGTTTGTATATATTTATGTTCTTGTGGTGAATGATTCATGGCTTAGGGTAATCATTCTGTGAAGTAGCCCTTTGGCCGTGTTTATTATTGTATGAAGAGGATGGTGAGATGTAAAGTTGAGGTAGCGATCTGTGTTTCTTGGTTTTTGATACCAATCTGTGATTAATAATCACCACACACAATATGGTATTTTTGTATCTAAATTGTGTTTGTCAATATTTTTTTTCTTTTAGATATTGTTGACGGACTAGTAGTAGGCTTTTTTGCTTTTTGTTTTTTTACGTTACTATTATGGTTGAGTTGTGATGTCTGGTGTTAATAATTTACTAAAAAACACTAATGGCGATAAACGTATTATATTTGCAAGTAACTGATATAAAAATGGATAGCTAATATGCAAAGTTTAAACCGGAATGTGTCGTACGTGAATCTGACTAGTTCGACAGTCGACGAAAGGTCTTCTTCAGAAGGGTATTCTTATCTTGTTTTTTTTTTTTTTAAATCAGGGTCAGCGACACGGGTCACCACAAGATCCAAATCAATGAAAAATGCAGTAAAGTTACATAATTCCAAAAATTTTATAAATTGTAATTTGTGCAAAAAAGTGTTGGAAAATAAACGTGTTCCATTAAAAGAGAACCAAAAATGCAAAAACAATTTAATATATATTTTTATTTAATAAACGTGTGAAGTCTTGATTGGCTTCCAAAATATTTTTGACTTTGTTCGGTGGCGGCGACTATTCATACCCGCGTTTTGGTTTCTGGTCTGGAACATTAACTACAGTTTGAATTTTAAGGATTAAGCACCCATTCACAATAAAGTCGGACTTGCCTGAATATACTTCCATCGGGAACGATATCACGATCACAGCTGCTATGAAGGCGGAGATCCCGCACGAAAGGGACAAAGCGTATTCGTAGTATTTCCCATATCCTTCAGGCTTGCTGGAAAAGAACGGTACAACGCATCAAGAAGGCATAAAGGACCAACATCTCGTGGACGGCTTACAATACTTGGATAAGACAGATCAGTATGCCACATGACGATTTATCCAGGAATGTCATTATTCCGTAAACGAACGCGCTGTTCTCTGTGTCAAAGCCGACAAGGTCCGTTGTGGCCACTAACGCCGTTACCAACATCACAGAATTTGCTGAACCTGGACAGTCCAATATTTATTACCCTCCTCAAATAGTCAACCCACCTATTAATTAGATTGATTGAAAAATGATTAAACAGATCTGATATAAGGCAATAATGTTTTTAGTTGATTCGCTGTTTTACCTGAAGGATTTTGAAAATAGGAGTGTTGGTTTTGACTTTTGAACGTAAATAAAAATGATAGTTGATGCTGGGTATGGTTTGTATGTCGGATTCAATATTCAATATAGGATATTAAATTGCATGTTGAATCAGCACTGGGTCACTTAATTGTTCACTCTTCACTCGCTGGTTTGAGTAGTTCTATAAACCCGTGAATCAAGACGGGCCTAATAAGTGACCCAATGCCAGTTCGGCTTGAAATATAAACTGTACTGTGAAAATCTGATACTAGTGAGGATCTACAGCAAGGTATCATCATCTGATGCTGAATTTGGTATTATTTGCTATCTACACGACATGGGGGAGGTAAGGGGGCGTTAGGATGGTCGCGTGAAATTAAGACCTCATCAACTTGTAAACATTATTTTTAAAAACCCACTTGACTTGAGATTTTGCCCCCCCCCCCCAAAAAAAAAAAATTAAAAATTGTCGCATGCGAAGTATGTTTACTGATTAGTTTTCGTATTTACGAAGGTGTTATTCATCACGATCTTGGTCCTGGTTGATGTTTTATGAACGTTGAACCCATCTGCGGACTGTTGTAAATAATGTACTCGAAATAGTGGCGCAACTTGCGAAGAATTTTTTTTTTCAAGCAAGAAAATGCTCGGTCAAACACATCCAGAAAACCGAAAATGGCCAATTGGTTATGTACGGCAATCATTAGACCCACATTACTCTATTGCTCACTAATCGAGTGGACCAAAGTTCAGCAAAAACAAGCTATCCAAACATTAGGCAGCATACTGGCAAACCTACGAATCACGTGGACAATGAAAACGATCCCATCAATTAAACCAAAAACACTGCTGAATCTACGTGTATTGGAAACTATACAAGGAAAAACGGGGAATATGTTTATTTAGGCCCCAGAAACAATCAAATTGGATGGCAACTAAACACTTCGGGCACACAACAAGAATCAATAAAATCAGATGAAATGGGGGCATGACTGAACACTCGGAAACTCTCTTTACAACATCCTATCATCAGACTAAATGAGAAGAAGAGAATTCAGGAGGAAATCATATACGATGATATGGTATACAGATGAGTCCAGAAGAAATGAAGGAACCAGATCAGGCGTTTTTTGTACTAGCCCAAAATTTGAGCATTCAAACTCAATAGGAAAGTACACCTCGGTCTTTCAAGGTGAAATCCATGCTATCAACCTTGTGTCTTAGAAAATCTTAAAAGAAGTTACACTGTCAAAAAAATCCTCATAAGATCAGCTAGCCAAGCAATTATTAAAGTATTAGCATGTAAAAAATTCACATAAAAATTAGTTATTGAATGCATCCAAAATCTTCAAAAGCTGGTAAACGCAATAACCTGATGGATGTCTTGGACGTCTGGACCCAAAGGAATTTAGGGTAAGGAAAAGGCACCACATTGGCCAGAATAGGATCTGCTAGATATGTAGAATCCTCCATTATACAATGGATCCAAAAAACAAAAGGAGAAGTGGATAAACTCTAGAGGTGCTGGATACAGTAAACGCTAAATACTACAACAACCCTCACTGGGTGAACTCACTGCTAAGTCAGAGAGGGCTATACTCAGTGCAGTGATAGGGCCATTCCGGCTACTGGTATCTGAGTAAACAACATGGGCATACTCAATGATGATCCCATTTGCAGGTTATGCTGTGAGAAGGAAGAAACAACCACCCATATCATCTTCGAATGCGAAAAAAGCGCTCAATGGACATAATCTAGTGTACTAAGAGTACACGGGTAAAAATTGCAGCAATGACGTTCTACTTCTTAAAAGAAGGATCGAGTCTATTGAACTGAAGTTATCTAATAGGAGAGGTACAATAAGCTAAAGAATGCAGTGCATGGGGAATAAACACACCGACTTATCCCCCGAGTATCCATATTCATCATCATCATTATTCAGTCGGGCCAAGAAAAAGTTAGACCTTCATTGGATCGAACTTCTGACACACCGAGTAATACTCCCCACATCGCTCTGTCAGATAAATACTTATTTTACCACTTCGTTAACTCAATAGAAGAAAAACAAATTGCAAAAGTCGAAATTCGGTCCAAGGGTTTTTCGATAGCCACTCCAAGGAGTCAAGATGACAAATGGCATTGAACAGAGCGACGTTGACCATCCTTGAAATGTGTTGATTGAATGGCCGATTCTTACCGTACAAAATGCCTACGAAGTATATTTGAACATGTTTGAATTGGTCGTTGTCCGAGTGGAATAGGATCCAACCCGATGCTACTGCAGCAAGGATGGCGCCGAACGAAAACGTTATCTGCAATATTTTAGTAACAGTGTTCAATTTTTTGAACTGATATTCAACTGGGCTTACCTTTTTACCGAATCTCTCGTTTAACGGCCCCGTCATCAGGGAGGCGAAGAAGGACGCGGTGTACAACGTCAGCGGGACCAAAGCCACGTTGGTGACGTTGATGTGAAGTGAATCGTGGATGTACAGCGGCAACATCGACTGCATGATGCTGCAGTACACCCTAGTGCACATGTAGAAGAGACCTGTTCGGTAGAGCTCCCATTGGCTGAGTACGTCTACAATTCTCTTCTTCTCAGCGGTGAACGACGAATAGTGTTGGATTATCAACGCTTCCGGTACGGTCAAAGAAAATATGAGAGACGTTATGCACCCTGAGATCATAACGGCAATAACTACTGACTGAAAAAAAGAGTGAAACTTACTATTCGCTGGTGGAGAGATAATGGACTTTTAACACACTTGGAACTTCCAAATGTCATTTTTTGAAAATAATCCCTCATTTGACATTTGACTTCCAACACGAAGTACGACAAGGGTCACGATGTGGACGGTCAAATTTGAAAAAGTAGTAAATATGTTTCTTAACGCTAACAACAGCGTCCGTTCTTTCGCCGAATAAGTGAGCTCGGTGACGAGGGCCAGATGGACCGTGGCCACTGCAGCCCAGCCCATTTGGAATAAAATTATGATCAAACAGTAATAAAAGAACTGGAAAAACATATTTGCCGTTGAGCAACCAGGACATTCTGAATAAAGCAAAGGCAATGACACCACAGTAATAAAAGTTCCTAGGACATAGAAAATTATGAATTTTTACAACGAACGATTAAATTAAACGGACAAACTTACCAAGGCAATACCAAGATTTCCTTTTTCCAAATCTTGAAAAGAAAATCAATTTGTAAGTGTCGGAAATATAACCGATCCCTGGAGTGCACACAGCATCAATCAGTTGTCCTAGCAGCATTAAGTAGCCGGAAACATGGGAATCAAATCTGACGATGTATTCGAAAAATAGCAATGTGTGACTGAGCCATACCGCATTGCACAAATCGTTTAGTACGTGGCCAACTGCATATCCCATCCTGATTTTGGCAGTTATCTTCTGACTCATAATTATCCTAAAAACAATTGAACCATTTATTCTTCCGTAAGTTAGGTTGTCTGCTCTGCTGTGGTGAGTCTAATGGTTCAGGATATTAATAATTGACGAAAGCTCCCGGGAGGATCATTATTGACCTATTTGCAGTGTCGTGACTGTGGCACAATCCATAGAAACAGTGATTACTGTTCACATCAGCTAGTGTTTGATAATATTGCTGCAGCTTTTTGTATAATGACCTGGTAATGACCATTTCACATTAGGTTAGGATTAGGTAAGGTCAGTTTTTGGGTTGATTTAGGTTGGGGTAGGAATGGTTTGATTACGTTAGGAATGATTAGGTTACGTAGGTTTATGGAAATAGTTGAGGTGGGGTGAGTATGGCGATTCAATTTTTATAAAGGATGGTTATACTAGACCATCCTTTATAAAAAGTAGGTAGGGATGGTTAGGGATGTTTATTACTTATAAACGTATGCAAAGACATCAATTGTGAAATGTGATTTTCGAAATTAAAGAGAGAACAAAGAAAAGAAAGCAAAATCCTGCTTCTCACGCCCAACTGAGCACCGCCAAGAGGTCCATCCCGGACATGGTATAACCATGACAGACGCTCAGGAGAAGCGAAGGAAAAGACCGTCAAGCAGAGCGAACAGCCAAAAGAAAAAACTGTGATAAAAAACCAAAAAACTGGTCAAGGTGCAGAGAACAAAGAGTAGAGAAGACTTGATGGTTAAGGATTATTTGGAGATCTCACGATGCGGTCTGGTGTGACGTAGGTGTTAGAAAAACATTTTCTTTATCGTGCCAACGTTTCGATCTTTATTAAAATCATCTTCAGCGCTCAAAGTGTTTGTTTTCCGTGTAGATGTGTTATTCTTGTGTGTCGTGTTGAGAGTGCCCACACCAGACCGTTAACGGTCATTAAACACCACACATTTTGGTTAAGCTAGGAGTGAGTATGGCTAGGTTTATGGTTGATTTAGGGTAGTTTAGGAATGGTTTGGTTCAGTTAGGTTAAAAGATGGGAGTTGAAGCGTGAGTTTTAAATTTTTAAGTTATTTTAATTTTTAATGTAATTTAATAAACTTAGTTTTTACAAAGTACGGAAACACTACTTTTATTCAACAAGTAGGATATTGGTAGCTTCAGAAAATATTTTTTTTAAACAAAATATTTAATTGAATTCACTAATTTCGTGGTCCGCTTGCCCAATTAATACATTATAGTTAATTAAAGTTTTTAGTTGAGATGAAAAAAAGTCAATGGCACGAGCGGGATTCGAACCCACGATCTTCGGCTTGATACGCCGCTGCTCTACCACTTGAGCCATCGTGAAATGGCCTCGGAGAGGTTTAGTGAAGTGTACTTCATTTAATTTATTAAAGGCCATTTCATTTGTCGTCGAGAATCCAATCCGATTACACGACATTTGAAAAATGGCAAAAAGGAGGGAAAACTCATAAGGTGGGGATGAGATAGGAAGTTGGTGTCCGAGTGGATCGAGGTCACGATAGCTCAAGTGGTAGAGCAGCGGCGTATCTAGCCGAAGATCGTGGGTTCGAATCCCGCTCGTGCCATTGACCTTTTTTCATCTCAACTAAAAACCTTAATTATAAAATATTTAATATTTCCATGGCAAATATCTAGTTATTTTGAACATGATATGCCGTTATAGATATTCCAGTTCTTGATATGTTATATGTAATATGTTTTGTCCTATTTCCAGATCTGAATAAAAGCTATGATTTCCGGATGGTTAGGTGATGAGAAAATTTGTTGAAGTCGTGAGGAGCGGTCAAAAATGAAGTATTATAGAAAAACGCCTTTTTCATTTTTTGCCGGTTTCGACTTTTATTTAGATCATCTTCAGAGCCTGGGTTAATTACAAAACATATGTTGTTTGGAAAAAATACAATACGATGTAAATATAATTATAAACCAAGTATGAAGTGTGGTACTCTTGTGGTGTCATATTGGTTCATGAAATACTTGGCTTATAATTTATATTTACATCTGTATTGTACTTTTTCCAATCGACATATGCTTTGTAATTCACCCAGGCACTGAAAAGACACGAATAAAGGTAGAAACGTCGCAAAAAAATGAAAAAGGTGTTTTTCTTTAATACTTCATTCTTGACCACTCCTCACGACTTCAACAAATTATTGCATAACAAGTCACTAAAAACACACACGTTATGAGATACTGAAGTTAAAATTATTGTGCAAAATTTTGCAAACAGCCTTGCTACAGTTTTTCTTTTCAGCAGATCGAATTCACATTTTAAATAAAATTTTTGATCAAGTGCCACACCGTTTTCGATTTTAATTACTTTTATTCCATATAACTTTTAAGCTAATGACCATATTGTTCGATCTTCTCTTGCATAGTTCATTGCGTTTAATTCGAAATACAAATGGATTTTGTAAAATACAAACACCTGACACTTATTTTAAATGAAACTGTCCTATTATATCTTATTATTCTATCAAATGATGAAAAATGTAAAACTAGCCCGCCTAATAATGAAAGTGGCTTATTCAAGTTTACCGTTATTTTGGGTCACACGATTTCCCGAAGTAAATTTCCTTGTAAATATATCAGTTTTATTCCTTGTAGGGAACTTGAGTTTTAACTTTTGCGTATAGATAATTTTTAATTTTGCTGTAGACTTTCAAATTGAATTTCTGTACAATTAAGTGAATTAGAGCTTAGAAAGCTAAAACTAGGTATATTTTTTTGGAATTTTGAAATATCTACAAATAAAACATCTGACTTCTTTTCTGAAAGAGAAAAAAAAACATTTTTCCAAATTTTAATTTTGTGTACTTTTTGCTATCTGAGCAAATAGTTTAGTTATAAAAAAATCTGACAAACCAGGAGTCAGTGGGGAGAGAAACCAACCTGTGCTGGAACTCTTTTATTTAATTTGGGGGGGGGGTTAAAGTTAATTCGGTAGGTTAGATAGAAGGTAGAAGGTCACGAGGCCATCGTCGTTTTAAACGGCGCGGAGGATTGTAATGGTGAGAAATTGAGGAAAGAGGTAGGGCTAGTGGGTTAGGGTGGAGGGATAGTTTGGAGTGGAAAGTGAAGAAGCGTGTTCGGATAAGATCTTTCACGAAAGAGATTTTAAGATCTTTTTGGATCGTTGATTGGTGACATAGAAGGGAGCATTGAGGATACGGCGGAGAACTTTAGATTGAAAAGATTGAATTCGTTGGATATTGGATGAGCCCCACAGCTCGATTACGTAGGTCCAAATAGGTCTGATGAGTGTTTTGTAAGCGGTTAATTTGTTATGTATGCTTAGTGTTGATTTTGGTCCAAGTAGGTGTCTGAGTAGTTCGTATCTTCTGCTAAGTGCCCTTTTACTCTTGTATGTGGGTTCTATGAAAGTCTACTATCTATGTAAAGCCCAAGGTAGCGGACTTGGTTCGATGGTGGTATTATCTTGTTGTAAATGTGCACTGATGGACAGGTTTGACGTTTGAGCGTAAACGTAACTGTTGGCTTTTTTGTTCGTTTAACCTGATCTTCTACAAATTTCACCAGTCGGTGATGAGATTTAGGTGTTGTTGGAATGCTTCTGTTGTTAGGATAGGATTGGAGTGTGTTGATAAGATTGCGGTGTCGTCCACGTATGTTGTGAATTGAGTGTTTGGATGTGTGGGTATGTCAGCAGTGTAGATGGTGTATTGGACCTAGGATACTTCCGTGCGGAACGCCAGCTTTTATTGGCCGATTCTTACTTTAAATCGTCGATCCGAAAGGAAGGATTTCACGAAAGTAGGAATGAGGGAGGATGCGTTTTAACTTATAGAGGAGGCCGGGGTGCATACTTGGTCAAATGCTTCCTAACGTCCAAAAATAGGTCTGAGCAGTATTGTTTATTTTCTAGAGCCGAGGAAACCGTGTCGACTACTCTAACGCTGAACAGTTTAATGGAGAGGTCGAAACCCAAATTGATGATGAGGAATTAAGTTTTCAGAGTCAAATAAGGCATTTCGTCTTTTAAGGAGGAGTCGTTCAAAGATTTTGGATAAAATAGGAAGGAGGCTTATTGGTCTATAAGAGGATGGGGCACTGGTGTACATTTTTAAAATTGTATCATTGTAAGAGCTATCATAGGTTAATAGATTTGTCATTATATGTTAATAGAGTTGTCATATCACATTTATGATCTTTATTTTCAGAAAGTGAAGTTGTGGGGATTTAAAATTGAAGGCAATGTTCTTGCCACAAATATTTTCTCTGTGGTCTTTTTTAATTGTCATGATTATCGCTTAATCATTATAAAATGATATCGACACCAGCAAACAACAAAATATATCATTATTAAAGAAACAGACAACGATGGGCAATTAATAACTTAATCTGTAAGCCACATAAAGAAGGAACACACTTACCCGATGCAACTCTACGCGACGCTACCCGACGCCTTGTGTCGTTTTGTAGGGTGTGCACATCTATGCGACATCAAGCGCATGCCACGTACAGTCACTCAGCATATCACAAATTAGTACCGCAATCGCAACGCCTCTTTTGTTCTTAATGCATTATTTTGAGCAAAACCATGTAATAAATTGTTGGTTAAATTTTATGAGCACAACCATGTAATAAATTGTTTGTTAAACTTAATTGTTTTAAATAAAGTTATTCCGGTGTTTTGATAAATTTTCTTCCTAACCATCATAATTAAATAATTCTTATAAAAATTCATGAATTTTTGATCTCGTTTAATTTGGTTTACATACCAATAAGTATGTTGTAATTAATATAATGACAAAATTACAAATACATAGCTCGAGATAAACTACAAAAAATTTGAGTGCCCAGTTTTGACGCTACTCGCCGAAAATGTAATTTTATGAGCAAAACCATGTAATCAATTGTTAGTTAAATTTTATGAGCACAACCATGTAATAAATAGTTTGTTAAACTTAATTGTTTTAAATAAAGTTATTCCGGTGTTTTGATAAATTTTCTTCCTAACCATCAGTAAATAATTCTTATAAAAACTCATGAATTTTTGATCTCGTTTAATTTGGTTTACATACCAATAAGCATGTTGTAATTAATATAATGACAAAATTACAAATACATAGCACGAAATAAACTACAAAAAATATGAGTGTCCAGTTCTGACGCAACTCGACGAAAATGTTGTAATTTTATGAGCAAAACCAAGTAATCAATTGTTAGTTAAATTTTATGAACAAAACCATGTAATAAATTGTTAGTTAAATTTTATGAACAAAACCATGTAATAAATTGTTAGTTAAATTTTATGAACAAACCATGTAATAAATTGTTAGTTAAATTTTATGAGCACAACCATGTAATAAATTGTTAGTTAAATTTTATGAGCACAACCATGTAATAAATTGTTAGTTAAATTTTATGAGCAAATCCATGAAATAATTTGTTAGTTAAATTTTATGAGCAAATCCATGAAATAAATTATTAGTTAAATTCATTCTATCAATAAATGGTATTCCGGAGTTTTGATAAATTTTCTACCAAATCATTAGAATTATTATTTTTTAAATAAAACTAATGAATAATTGATCTCTCTTAATTTGGTTTATATTAAAATAAGTATGTTGTAATTAATATAACGACAAAAATACATATAGTTTGAATAAAAATATGAGTGCTCGGTTATTTTGTCTTCGACTGTACTCGATGCTACCCAATGAGAGCGTAGAGTAGGGTAGCTTTGCGTGGCATCGGGCAGTTGTGCACTGGGGTAATACAATCTTATGGAAAAATGGACTTCGGATTTGCGTCGGGTAGCGTCGCATAGTGTTGCATCGGGTAAGTGTGTTCACCGCTTAAATGTTGGGTACAACAGCCTATTTTACTTTTATGATGGAATGTATCTTCAAAGTTAGTACTTACCTTCTTCAGCTAGAGCGGGTCCCCTTTGTAAGTATAGGTAAATAAATGAATAAACTGTATAGTAAAACAAGTTCTACATTTATTTATCTGACGATTGTTGATACTAGTTTAATGATTATGTTACATTGTTATTACTAATACGCTAACTTAAAATATATTAAAAATACATAAAATAATAATATTTGCCTATTAAAATATCAGGTCTTTCTCGATTAAACACATTGACAGGTTTTTTAAAATATTTTTACTTGTTTTACTCTTTATGACTATTAATTAGATCAAACACAGGATGAAAAAAATTAACATAGAAAGATTGTCACTTTACTGCCATAAGACAAAAATGTTTGACAATTAAACAAGCTTTTTCGCTCGCTCATTCACCCAAGTAATATTATAGCTTTGGAAATTATATCTAAAAATTACTAATCGATTATCAAAGTTTTGTAAAACCGGTTAATTGTTACTGTCGTTTGGGAACCATCAATTTAAACATTTAATTCAACTGCAAGAAATACAGATTGGGAGTAGAAAATCTAATAAATTGAAGAATTATAGAAGAACGAACATACTTTTTGTTTACCATTGAAGGTTATAAAACAATAACCATATACATTTCTATAAAATCATCTTTACCATCTACGCGTAGACTTTTTTGTTATTTCAGTTTTTATTTGTCCTCAACATTCTTTACGATTGACCTCAAGATTTACTTAATAATAGAGAATACATTTTGTGTAATATTGATGTTTTGGGATGGAGGATGTGGCCCAAGAATGATAATTATTGCACTACCCGAAAGCTTTCGAAATTTATTACCCCCCCCTCCTGAAAAACCTGACAAAACCAACGTTTATAGTATTTATTTATAGACGGTACTATTAGGAGAATACTTGAAAAAAAGAAAAAGATTCTAATATTTTAACTATATGTTTAAATTTAACACCTGACCTGGCACCTAAGTATGTAAATAAAGGTGGAAATTTAAGACCAATTATTAGTATATACATATTTATATTGATCATTGTTTGTGAATGTAGATCCCTGGGGAAAGCATAATAAGTGCAGAAAGCTTGGTGGTAGTGTAATAATTGTCATTCTTGGACCACATCCCTGATCCTAAATCATAAATATTACACTGATCACGCCTAAGAAAAATTTGTGAAATATAACACGCATAAAAAGCGTTTAATTGTATTGTATCCCTAACTTTAACTCATTTTTTCAAAAGACTGAAGAGTTCAAAATTCTAAATTTGTTTATCGACCGTCTAAAACAGTACTTTTCAGGATGCCATCAATCAAAATAAAATTTTGATTGTTATTGTTTCTTACATTTTCAATTGAAATTGATGGTGCCCATTTTAAATTTTTTTCTTTTGTAAATAAAATCAATTATTATTAGGATTCTCAGTAACAATTACACACTCACTGAAGTAATTCAATAAGGTTTTATTAATATTATAGCAGTGAATATGTCATGTTGATATTTTTAATGTAACGTGAATTCCTGGCTATTGTTCTGTCATGTATGAATTGTATGTAAAGTATTCATATAAACGTTATCTAGGAGCTTTGGACTGCTACGATCTACACTAAAATGTTAAAGGTAGAGGATTAATATATTTAATCTTACATCACAATCGAATTCTAACTTTATAATACACAAAACTTTTAAATTAGTTCTTTGGACAGCTTTGGTAAAATATATAAATATGAGCATTTTTCTGCCACAATTTCAGCTATCTTTGAAAGTGATATATAGTTACGTTTGAATTTTTTTTATTAAAAAGTTATTTTTGATCTTTCTAGCATCTATCAATTTTATGTTTGTTTTTTAAAGATATATTTTATATTCATGATAAAAACATTTTAGTAAATATGCAGATTCTAATATGTTTACAATCACACATTTTACAAAAATATATAACATCCACCCACACAACACTGAATATCCATTCTATAAAACAATTTTCTTTGAAATATATTTATGTAATGTTAAAGTACAAAATGTTTCTGGGATATCTAGTGTTTTTTTTAATCATGAATAAATTCTATAGCACAAAACTTCCCATAGAGCCACAAAACGGTACAAAGGTGTTTCTTCTCAGCAATGGAAAAACACGAAAATACGTTCAAAAGTTTGAATGCATCTCTTGTCCTTTTATCCTGTGTGATAATTGTTTCTTTTCATCTTCGGCCTACTGAATGTTGCAGACGTTCTTAACTTGAATACAATTTTTTTTCTTTTTGTGTTATGTTCAGTTATTGTCGACTTGTTTCCAATTAAAAACAAGGAATACAAGGCACCCCTGTGAACCCTTGGGGGCCGACTGATGTGGTAAGGTCTATTTACAATAGATGGTACTGATGCGGCTTCTACTGCTGAGAGCATGGACGGCTACCAGTTGGTGGTACAGTTGGCGATGGGTGAGGCGCACCACCTGACTTGCCTGAGTGGTGGACAAGAAACGCCTCCTCTCCGTGGTGGCCGCAGAATCGCTCTTTCCCTTGACATTTCTCCCACTCCACAGCTTGAAGAACAGCCGCTCCACTCTCCCCAATCACCAACTTTGCAGTCCCTCATCTCTGAAAGTCATTCATACATATAATCTTCAGAATATTAATAAAAAATACAAATAAAAACAGTGTCACGAGCGGGATTGGAACCCACGACCTTCGGCTCGATGCTCTAACCACTATCACGATAGCTCAAGTAACATATTGAGCCAAGGTCGTGAGTTCGAATCCCGCTTGTAATACTAACTTTTTTATCTCAACCAAGACCAAAGATAAAAAAAAATACTTGATTCATATTAAAATAAAGCAGAATGAGTAAATAAAATTAAATAACTAATAATAACGAGTATTGATAACGAAAGTTTTTTGTTTATTCATTATACGTTTATTTTTGCAAACGTAAGCAAAATAAGTAAGGTAAATGTGACAGTTGGGCCTAAACTGGTTGGTCGATCGGTTTGCTGGGATTTTCTATGTTGATACCAGGGTCCTTCATTGCTGCTTCTATAACAACACACTTAAAAAGCCGTTGTTTCTCCAAAATGTGATTCAAGCTCAAACTTCTTTTGTGGGTGCACTACCTACTTGTGGCATCCTCATTGATCAGTTTTACCACAAGATGGATTGGTGGCTGAAGTCAGGATCTCTGAGGAAGTATGTAGTTTTTTCAGTCACCTAACAGCCAGGACAACTCCGAATTGGAATTGATGAGCGGCAGGACGAACTTCCGATAAGGACGTTACTGACGACAGGTCAAATGAAAAATAGCATTCTGATGAAGCGCCCAGCAAGATCCACCATGCTCAAATTTTACAAATCTCCGAATAGGTCGCGGCCATTGAAGTCAAGACTTTTCACAATACCGAATGACCATATGGCAAGCCTTCATCATTACTTGCTACTCCATATAGAAATGGAGCTGTAGGGCTATTTCACGATTACAGAAATTACGTTCTAAATCCTTATAGTTGATGGACCACAATGTAGAATTGACCAAAGTTTTCAACGGTGAGAAATGGCAATGTATACCGTCGTATTTCGGTAGCTGAAGCCAAGATCTATGAGGAAACATGTAGTGACACAGCCAGAAAAAGAGCCAAATTGGAATTGATGAGGCGGAAGGACAAGCTTCCGATGACGACCTTACTGACGACTATTTAGCATGCTCAAATTCTACAAGTATCCGAATAGGTACAGGTCAAATAGCCAGAGGGAATGGAATATATGATCGAAAGTCCTTCGAAACAGTTCATTAGTTGCAGTTAAATTGTGTCGTCATTTTGAGGTTACACACAGAACTCTTGAGGCCGGCGCCACACTAGACGGAATGCGACGGACGTTTCCGCGACGAAAAACCCGCCCAACACGAACAAGCCACATGTACAGCGGAAATGAACGGAATGACTGCAACGACTGTTTGGTTATTCAGTTGATAACGTGACTCAGTTGATCGTGTACGGTACAATGGAACCACTTTTCATTTTGTGTAGTAGAAGGCAATGGAGAAGCAGAAAAGAAAGAAGAACATCGGATTCATCATGCAATATTCAAGGGGTAGCACTTGGTAAATTTTACTATCTGTATGGGTAACTTAGTCGCTATCCTATACTATGGGAAGACTATAGCTTGATTTGACGAGCGTCTTTAAAATTCGACAGACAGGGCCTGTTCTGAATTTCCACAATAAATTGGTCCGCGTCCATCTTGGATCAACTTCACTCGCAGTTTGCCTGTCCGCCTGCCTGCCTCTTCCAATAGTGTGGCAACGGACAAGCGTAGAACGGAAGAGGCAGGCAGTCGGACAGACAAACTGAAAGTGAAGCTAATCTGGGATGGACGTGGACCAATTTATTAAGGAAGTACAGAACAGGCCCTGTCTGTCGAATTTTAAAAATTCGACGGAAACTTCCGTTCAGTTTGTCGCTAGCTGTATGTTTTGAATGTGAGCTTGTGCAGCGGAAACTTCCGCCGCATTCCGTCTAGTGTGGCGCAGGCCTGAAAAAGAGACTGATTTCTTTCATGAGGAAGCTACAACTGTTAATGAAAACTCATTAAAAGCGTCTTATTTGATAAGTTAGCAAGTGGTTCAGGTGTAAGCAAAAACCCTCATAAAACCATATGTTAACGATATTATATCTGGACAAAAAAGCATAGAAAAATAATATGTTCGGTGCGATTATCAAACAATTCAGTCAATAGACGAATACTCGATTTATCAAATTATATGAAAGGATCGCTGGTTTCTATCATCCAACACAAATCATTTTCTCTCCAAATCGTACGAATGAACAGACTTGGTGGGGGTGGCTATTTTCTTGGCTTTTGTCCGTTTGAATAGTACAGATGTATTTAGGTGCCGAAATAGTTCATTTGTTGGACGATTTTTTTACAATGAAATTCCATGGATTAATTGCATTGTCGTGTGCGCAGATGGTGCAAAAGCAATGATTAGCCGTTTGGAGTGATTACTGAAAATAAAAGATAAATCGAAAGTTTGCAGCAGCAGTCATTTTGTTCTCCACAGACATTCCTTAGCTATGAAACAAATGCCAGCCTCTTTTGAGAAAGTTTTAGATGAGTCTGTTCAAATTATTAATTATGCCAAGTGGCGGCCATTGAAGACAAGACTTTTCACAATATTATGTGACGATATGGGAAGCCATCATCATTCCATTTTTTCTCCATACAGAAATGGTGTACTGTTTCGTGGGAAGCATTTTCATGATTATAGTAATTACGTTCTAAAGTCTTGTCTCTATTGATGGACCACAATGTTAAATTTGTCAAGTTTTCAATGATGAACATACAACAATGTATACTGTCGTATTTATCAGATTTTCATGAAAATGAATGACATGACTGTTTCTTTGAAAAGGATGAGTATTACAACTTTCGATGCTATTGACAAAGTTCTCGCCTTCAAAAGAAAAATCCAGTTTTGTGATGAATCTGTTGAGACGTAAGATGAGGAATGTTTTCATCTCTTTTTAAAAGAAAACAAACTGGAGCTTGCAAACAGCACGTTGATTGATGAAATAATATGTGAACACTTTCGAAGTTTGGAGATATCATTTGAGCACTACTTCCCACCAGCTCGAGAGACAACAATGCTGCAAGAACTTTAATGGGTGGTAAAACCGTTTTCATTTTCTACAAAGCCAATACGTCTATCGTCACGTGAATACAATTTGATTGATATTGATTTGAATTTAGGGTATGATAGACATTACTTCAGACTCCAACTTGAAATCTACTTTCGAGACTGATACTTACCCCCCCTTAGACTGTTATTGGCTCCGACTGGAAAAGAACAAATTTCAACTCTTCTCGTTGAATAAGCAAAACGTGTTCTTCTTCCATTTGTCACAACGTTTGCGAATAATCAGCCACCGAAGCAGTCTAATGCTAAACCTGTCTCCCGCTATCGAAAAATTATACTCACTTGTGCAGGCTAAAAACACCTCACTCTTNACGGTGGGGATCGAACCCACGACCGCGGGATCTAATAGCCGAGAGTCTGACGCCTTAACCACTCGGCTACCGCGGCCCCTCCACTCTTCCCATAATTCATTAATCATTAATGATCAAATTATTAATTTTGAATTTGGCTCGAGTTTTACCTACTGATTCTGCTCAGTCCAATTTGATTTTTGTTTTCCGGATTTTTGAAATAAAGTTAAGTATGTCAATCTAATGTGTTGTCATTACATATATCATAGTTATAGTCATATCCTCCTCCAAACCTAATGGACTGGCTAATTTATGGAAGTTTAATTTACTACATTACTACATAAGTATCTGATTTTAAATACTTGAATGAGAAGGGTCCACACTGAAGTTTATTCTGTAAAATATGTGAAAAGGGTTCGCCCTGGATTTTGTTCTGTGGAATCTGCGAAAGGGGTCCGCTGGCTAAAAAGTTTGGGAAGCCCTGTTTTAGAGTTAAACCTTAAGCCAGAAACATACTTACCCGATGCTACGCCGTGCGACGCTACCCGATGCTACCCGACGCAAATCCAAACTCCGATTTTCCATAAGGTTGCATTACCCCCGTGCACATCTACCCGATGCTATGCCACGCTAACCTACCCGACGCTCTGCGATCCCCACTGTCCAGATTTTCGTCGGGTCGCATCGAGTACAGTCGAAGACAAAAGAACCGGACACTCATATTTTTATTCAAACTACATGTATTATTGTCGTTATATTAATTACAACATACTTATTTTAATATAAACCAAATTAACTGTGATTAAAAATTAATTAGTTTTTATTTAAAAAATTAATTTTAATGGTTTGGTAGAAAATTAATCAAAACACCGGAATACGATTTTTTGATATAATGAATTTAACTAACAATTTATTGTACTTGCTTCGGCGGTACATATACTAAAATTGGTATAATTTATTACACGGTTTTGCTCATAAAATTTAATTAACAATTTATTTCATAGTTTTGCTCGTAAAATTACACCATTTTGTAATGTCGGGTAGCATCAGAACAGGACACTCATATTTCTTGCAGTTTATTTCAAACTAAGTACATGTAATTTTGTCGTTATATTAATTACAACATGTTATTTTAATGTAAACCAAATTAAACGAGATAAAAAATGCATAAGTTTTTATAAACATTGTTTAATTATAATGGTTAGGAGTAACTTTATTTAAAAGAATTAAGTTTAACAAACAATTTATTAGATGGCTGTGCTCATAAAATTTAACTAACAAATTATTACAAGGTTTTGCTCAAAATAGTGCATTAAGAACAAAAGATGCGTTGCGATTGTGATAGTGATTATTGTGATAAACGCTGTGGACTGTTCGCGACGTGTGCTTGCGTCGGATAGCTGTGCACACCCCACCAAAACGTGGCAAGGCGTCGGGTAGCGTCGCATGGCGTAACATCGGGTGTGTTCCCGGCTTTAGGCGTTCTCGTGTGATTTTCAGTAACACAACAGTTTGGTGCAAGAGTGACTGCAATGAGGTTTTAAGATTGGTTCACATTCGTAGACAAAATCGCGTGACTGTCTATTGAAAAACCACCAATTTTGTCTATAGACAGTCCATAACAAACCCTAGATGATCAGAGACTTTGCGTTCAGCCCTGCACAACTCTGCTAAAATAGTTTCCAAGTTACCATGATAATTGAGACTTATCTACGCACAACACTACTGTGACATTGCTGCTTGGGCAGTAATAATTTTTGATCAGAAAATAAAAATAAAAGTTTTTAAATTTTGGACCTTTTTTACATTAGAAGCGGAGGTTTTATATTTATACCCATATCTTCCAAAGTCTGCCTTTTCTTATTGCATTTTTATGTCTTCCGATGTGACATCTCATAAGTAATGTAAAACATGCACATTTTCTATAAATAATTAATTTTCCGTCGCCCGCATCATGTATTTGAAAATGTACAAAATGATGTACAAGTAAACAGCCAGCATGTTTCTGTTTGTAAAGATGGTTAGATGGGGGAGTTTAGAATTAAATAATTATTTAAAAAATCGGACGCAAAAAATAAAAAAATTAACCCCCTGGGAGTACTCTATGATTCTATCTAATTGGTACATTAAAAAACAATTCTTACTCGTTTTCTTGTATTTTGATTTAACTGTGCGCGTCGTGTCGTGGTTGTTGAAACTGCTCACTATTGTGTTTAAAAAAACACCGTCGTCTTCAAGTTTGCCAGTGCCTGTTGGAAGGATAATGTAAGGCTTTCTCGTAGGAATGGGTGGCCTAGAAAAAAAGTATTTTTATTTGATGTTATTTTTGTTTTAAAACGGATTAATTATTACATTAAATTGTTAATTTTTGTAGTCATTTTTTGCTGCATTACTAACTCTTCCTCTTTCCTTTCCTCTTCCATTTCCAGTTGTATGGCTTCGTTGCCTTGCATAATGTTTATGGCGTTGTGTTGGTCGGACTTGACGACTTCGTATCTTTTCTCGTCCTCGCCGTGGTGGAAAACCTCGCTTATTTCGTATTCTTTCACCTAGGAAATTGAACAAAAATGTATATTTATTATTTCTCTAAAATAAGCATAGCCTGGAAGTTGTTCTTGTATTTTAACAAGTGTTCTTCAGTCAAAAGGGAGCCGGAGGATGTTAAAAGTTAATGGCCGTAAATCACGACGGCTACTACTAAGGAAATTAAACAACGCTCAGTGCCTGACCATAGATGTAATTGAAGTTAGCCCCCACATCTCACACTCTACCACGGTAAATAATTTATGATCTCCGCATCCTCCCTTTCCAGCATACAATGCACATTTTAATGGGCATGGTTAATGAAAGTCCGAAATTGTTGGCTGGCTACAGTTTATGTTTTGCAACCCGTTGCCCTTTTGGACCTTGGGCGTTATCTCTAAAGGGAAAGAAAATTGGTAACTATATTTGTGTTTTTCCATTGAACAAATGCAATCATTTTTGGCCGAAATAGAAAAGCATTTATAATCATAAATCACTTTTATTTCTATTTTAGCTAAGAGAAAATGCATCTTAAAAATTAGTATATTTGTTTGAAAGTGCATTAGATAAAATCTTTTGAATTAATTAATCTTTAATTGAGGTTTTGGTTGAGATAAAAAAGTCAGTGTCACAAACGGGATTCGAACCCACGACCTTCGTGTAAATATGCCCCTGCTCTCCCACTTGAGCTATCGTGACTTCGATCCACTCGGACACTAACCCCCATCTCAACTCTTTCGAAACTTTTCCATCCTTTTTGCCATTTTTTTATCTCAACCAAAACTTTAATTAAAGATTAATTAATTGAAAAGTATTTATTTGGTCAATCGGACCGCGAAACCTAATAGATGTAATAAGCAAAATGAAGTATACTTCACTAAAGCTCTCCGTGGATTGCACGACATTTGAAAAATGGCAAAAAGGAGGGAAAATTCGAAAGGTGGGGTTGAAATGGGATGCTAGAGTCCGCGTGGATCGAGAAGTTAGGATAGCTCAGGTGGTAGAGCAGCGACAAATTTAGCCGAAGGTCGTGGGTTCGAATCCCGCTTGTAGGACTGACTTTTTTATCACAACCAAAACCATAATTAAAGATTACTTAATTGAAAAGAATTTATTTTCAATCAGACCACGCAACCTAACAGATTATATAAAATGTTAGAATTAATAAGGAAATTAAAGTCATAAACCGCCGTGCATTTGCGTGGTTCATCACAAGGATAAACAAAAATTTAAGAAAAAAACCAAAAATATTTTTGTTTTTTCTGTTTTTTAAATGGATTATTTTACAACTGCCCATTAAAAAATGCACTACTTCTGATACAGTTATCAGTTTGTATTAACGTACATTATGTAATCGTACCCACGCGCACATAAAACGACAAAGCTCAGCTGACAACTCCAACAGGATGAGATTGCTTAGAAACCATCCAACATTGGGCAACTAAGTTGTTTCGTGGCGGTAGTGTTTCGGAGGTTGTCCAGAAAATAATTCAGGTTTATTGTTATGAATAAAAAACAATTAAATAAATTATTTTAAACTTTTTTATTAATTAAATTACCCTCCATCACTCTAGATAGCAACTTTTCTATACCCTCTGAATAGAATAGAATTTTTGAATATTTATTATTAACAAATTCTGTAAACGCATTTTCTAACGACTTTTGATCAATAAATTTTTTATGTTGTAAAACGTTGTCCAGGTAGAGAAAAAAATGGTAGTCCGTACGCGAGAGGTGTGGAGAATTGGGAAGATGAGGGAGAACCTCTTAACCAAGATCCAACAGTTTTCATGTTGTCACAAGTGTGACATGTGGCCGAGCGTTGTCGTTTAACAAAATCGGACTTCCTTGATTGACCAAAGGGGGCTTCAACAATGCCTAATTCGGGTGGATTGCTTCGATTTGAGAGAAATACATTTCGGCATTGATTGTTTCGCCAGGATTCAAGAAGCACACCAAATTCACCATAACCTATTTTTAATCAGTTGGATGCTTTGGAAAATGTGGTGCCGCTTCTACTTTGTCGAGCCCCTATCCAGAACGTCTGCTGTTATTGTATAGAATCTACTTTTCACCACAAGAAACAATTCTATACAGAAAGGTTCGTTTCTGTTTCGGCAAAAGTTCACAACGATGATTTTTCTTGGCGGTCTTTCCGTGCGGTCTTAAGGTGGTCAGCGTCGGTCTGTTTGCTAACTGAAAGAATCTGCAAGTTCCGAACAGTTGTTTTGGGATTTTGGACAGTTGGGACTTGAAAATTGAGGTATGACAGCATTTTTGGGAGTCAAGTTTATTATTAAGAAGGCCGTGGATAAATATTATATTGGACATAGTTTCTATTCAAGTATCATGCCAGGATTCGTAAATCTTTAATGCCGGATAGTCTTGTCAAGTGAGTTTTATTAATCATATATTGAAAAGAATCCATTCATATATTTTAATTATCTATTACATAAAGTATAATGTATTTCATGAAATGTTATTCTTCCTGAAAATTCGATTACACTACTAGAATTTTAACTTCGAAAAAAATCCAGAAACGTTAAAAAAATTAAATTGTCAAAATGAGGTTGAGGTCATATGTAAAGTGAAATATCTTTATTACCATATTTAGAATCAGACTTTGGACAATAGGGGGTCTTTTTCGTCAAATTTGATTTATAGGAAACCTCCTGAGGTATTGATGTTTGTTCACCCTGTATAGGTAATTTGTAGAATAATCAGCTACGTACACTGCTTAGGGAATGAGGGGCATGTACGCTACCCTACGGGCCATCGGAGAATATGGTACGATGAGAAAGATTTGGACTATTTAAAAGTAACGACCTCTAATACAAGATTTTAGAATTAGGTAGAAACTAGATTATACTGGCATGTAGTGATTTTTCTTGATAATCATAATTGGTACTAGGCAGAAAGAAAACCTTAAGTTGTGTAGACTTTTATGTTGGGTTAGTCATAATTAAATAAACTGTAAAGAAGTATAGCAGTAAAATTGAAATTTACTTTTATAAACTGGAAAGTCGCTATAGGTGGCAATCGCTTGATGTACGGGTAATAAAATGAGCCTGCAGGATGAGCCGGGAATCTGCTGGTGATCCTGTAAACGACTCCTTGCGGTTGCGTCACCCAATTGGGCGCCGTGAACGTAAAACCGTTGTCCGTCCCAGCGTCAAGTGGGTCCACCTGTCCAAAGCAGAAAAACAAAAATGAATGCTGCGTCGTGATTTTAAACCGAAGAAATATACCTCTAGAGTTATTGTATCCAGCCAATTGCCGTCTACGCATAACTGGAAGGAGTCCAAACCGACGAACCAGTCCGGAGACGGTATTATTCTGGACATAATGGAAACCTGAGGAAAAACGTGTTTTTTTCTGCATGTTGTTTAAAAATGTAGATATCACCGGAGTAATACAAACTTTGGAATGGTTCCCATCCAGGAAGAACTGCGTCTCAGTCCGACCTTGTCCAGTGGTCACCGGAGGGGCGGTGAAATGGTCAAGAACGCCTTGCGTCCCCTGTCCATCGGCCAACTCCCATTTTCCCGTTTCTGCGAAGTTCTTCACTTCGGGGCTGGCTGTGGTTCCCACTCGGAAAAGTTTCCATGAACTGCCGTGGGACATACCTGCACAAACAAGGGATCCAAATGAGATGACCGTATATGACACAATAAATTGCTTGTTTTATGCGCTATACGTTGAAATTTCGTCTCAATGAAGCACACAAAGAATTTATCCTGAAAAAAGGTGTAAATATACAATATAATATATAAAATATTCTATAAAATCAAAATATATAAATTTGTAAAATTAAAATGTTGAATTTATAAAATAAAATAACAGATCCATGAAAGAAACTTGGCGATATTGAATTAAACGTGTTTATTTTTCGGTTATCCAGTTCAAACAGCCAGGTGTACAAATGATCACTTCAAATTGATATATAATAAAATGTGTTTTATGATCTCATTGTTAAACATTGGCAAGTGATATTGAAGAGTAAGTGAGTCTTAAAGTGAAGTTGAGATAAAGTAAAAATATTATGCCCTATGCATAAAGCGAAAAATAAATGAACGACCAAGTTGTGGACAAATGCTTGAAAACACCGATGACCAACCATCATAGTTTTTAGTAAATAAAACTATTCAGTACCAATTAAATAAACAATTTTTAAATAAATCGTTGTATCCTTGATTTAATGTTCTCGTCGGACGTTTTTCTAAATGTGGTTTTCAAATAATAAAGTGCCCGTTTGTGCGGGGGGTGACCGGTTATTAAATGAATGTGTCCTCCGTCCCGCCGGAGTGAATGGGACCAGGGGCCATTGTTCGTGGACAAAGGGAGCCTGAGGAAAGGGTACATGTACAAAAGCAAGTAAGTTTGTACCACTTCATCAAACTTAAAAGGTTTAATGTACCTACGCGAGATTCTCGGATCCCTTCGGGTTATAACGTTGAGATATCACCTCGACTCAGCACTTCGTAACGTTCACACATGGAAGAAGACGATATACTCCTTGCTTTTTGGTCGCTAGCCTTTTATTAAATTTCCTACGTTTATTGTCAACATAGTATTTCATAATTTATGTAGAGATATATTTTTCAAAAAACCTCGACTCAATTAATAATAAATAAGAGAAACCACAAAATTATTCAAAAAGTACAAGTAGTAGTTTTACCTTTTGTAAAATTATTAGTGTGATTTGTAACTTTTTATTTCATGATGCTATTCTTTGTAATATAGACATTTTATTCACATAAACAATATAAAATGTACGAATTCTCTTCAATCTACGATGAATCAACAAGAAGCAACAATTTTATGCAACATGCGTTTACTTCATTAATTTTAACAACTCAGTGGGGATGGTAACCCGAAGAGGCAGCTTCGTAGACGTCAGAGAATTGAACTCCGACACTTTCGAAATTCCACCTAACCCCGACAAGACATGTCTTGGTTAATTACATAAAACTGCTTCACGGTGTTAGTTTTATTACAATGGATCCACACTATCACCATCACCTTTGCTGATGATCCGCAATCCTTTCGCCTGATAAAGATCCTGTCACAGCTTTCCGTAATCTCCAAAGTAACCTACACATCCTAGAATGCTGGTTCCGACAGTGGAGAATCAAGATCAACAAAACCAAATCCCACCAACCTCAACGACGTTCCCATCACAATTGCGAACCATGTACCTCAGACTCTACCTGGATAAACGACTGACGTGGAACCCCCACACACGACTTAAGCGCACAGACGGTAACATACGATTTTTAATGATCAAACGACTACACGGCAGACGAAAACTTTTTTCAAAACTCTTACTAAGAAACAAAAGAAAACTTTACATTGCCCTCCTGGCCCCCATTTGGACGTACGTACTTGAACTTTACGGGACCGCTTCCAACCTCAATCGAATCCATTCTCTTAAAATCAAAATCCTCAGAATAATAGTCAACGTCGGTTTTTATGTATCTAATCGCACCATCCATACCGACCTAAATGTCCCTCTTGTTACCGAGCTAGCCCAATCCCGCTACAAAACGTTCCATTCCAAACTACCCCATCATCCGAACCCTTTTGTCAAAATTCTGTCATTCACCACATTACCCAATAATCCCAACAGAAGACTGAAGTGTCGGTGGCCCCGCGACAACCTTAACGCTTGACATCGGTCCATGTCCATCTCGCTCATCGTGTTGATTATTGGATGGTAGCTGTTCAAGCTTTCATGCTACTATTATTATTGTTTATATGTAAATATTATATGTTTTACTTGTTGGGTCGAAAAATGAAGTTGTAAAAAATATATATATAAAAACAAAACAATGGATCCATGTTTTAATGACCGTCGACCAGACATCGTTTGATGAAAGACAGATCAATGGGATTCTCAGAAAACTTTTGCACATATCTTCCCGTCGTGTGCGTTCTTCAGCAGTCGAAGAATCAATCATACGCCTTCCAAGTGCCTGTTTAGGATGAAGGAACTTCTAACTCATCTGATGTTTACTCCTAACTTTTAATTTCAAGTTCCAGGACTTTTTCACCTCAGAAGCTTTCATTTACATACAGGGCATCTTTTATAATCTATATCTTTTTTTAAACAGGAAGTTGAAATTATTATGACCTGACAAACATTTACCATATTTTTCTATAAGTTTGACTAACGTTGTTTTCTTTTCATTAAAATTTAAAAATTTTAATAAATCACACAAAATAAACTTGTACAAGCTTCATAATAACTGAAAGTCTGTAGGAACCAGATCAGAAGAAATTGAGGGGAATTCTAGGATTCCATTGTTAAGCTCCTTTTAAACCGGCACTGAGTACACGTGTGGGTTTTTATGTTATTGTGTAACAGTAACGCAGTTGTTCACTGAAGATGGCGCAAAGCCGAATCTCGTTTGAGTAACATCAAAACCCGCGAGTGTAGACCGTTCACCGCCTTGCAGACCAACACCATCCATCAATTAAGCTCCTTTTACTCAGTTCCTAATCTACATTGAAATATGAGGTTATGCAACAGGATAACTTTTCTGTTCACTACTACCGTCTTTTAAATGTATTGAATTGATGTTCCTTCTCTAGGTACAAATAGAAATTACTAATCCCATCCACCATCTGCCATTACTTCATTCCAACTTATTACTTTTTCGGATTAAGATTCTGGATTGGTTGCAATTCGGCATCTAACAACATCATCATCTTCTCTGACGGTTTGATGCGGATTTTTCTGTTTAACAGGTTCTTTGATAATTTATTCTACCGAGCGAAGGATAGTGTACTAAGCTACATAGATGCATGACCGAATACATGGCTAAACTTTCTCATGTCTGATGAGTCCAAATCTTTGTTCAATGTGTGATTCAGCTTGGTAAACAATACCTACTAGTAATTAGATTTTTCTTAGATCTTTGAGGAACCAGGACTTGTTTATTTTGCGTAAGAGTAGTTGTGTACACTCCACTAATGTAATTCTTGTGTTGTGGGAGGGCTTAATGTCCAATGTTGCGAACGAGGGGTCAAACCACTTTAGAATACTTTTTACATATTATGATCAATTAAAAACCATAGGTTACGCCGGGACCCAGAACCGCTAGCGTGGCAAATACGAGATGGTCACCCTAACCACTCGGCCATCGCGTCCCCAGTATACACTCCACTAGTAATGCTTGGGGCAATGCCTAACTATCTGATTTTTTTTTCTGTAAATGTAGAAATCGGTGCTTTATAGATGCAATCGTTCACCTAAATTTGCCTTAATTTTTTGAACCCTCATTAATTCACTAATCATAAACAGTTATGTGGTGTGTAGTTGAATTCAGTATAATAGTTTCCGCTGGATGTCAATGCAAATTCGCCTGGAACAAGTCGAGGGGCATAAGCTTTGCAAAATGGGCTGATGCTTCCTGGCAACAACATTAAAGGGCACGGTTGTCGGTCAAAAACAAAAGGGTGCAGATCTCAATAAGACAGTAACACCCTTAACCCTTCTCCCGACCATTACAATTCACCCCTTCCGGATGGCTTTTGTTCTTGCCGGCTCACTCGGTCGGTTCCTCCGCTGCACTACTCGTCTGCTCTTCGTCTCTTTTGAACGAAGTGCTTCATATTAGACCCATAAAAAATTCTTCCTTTGCAATACTTTGTTTACATTTTTTTAGGGGGGGGGGACTGTAACTAGCAATAACTAATTGAAATTTATACCGAATTAAAAACGAATAACAGTCAATTTTTTTGTACACGTAATAATAAAAACTTTTTTTACCCAATTCGTTAATAATTATGTGGTACATAGTGTGGTAACCACTTGTGAATAGCTTCATAACCACTCCTATCCACCGTTTTCTTTAATTCTTCAAGAACGGCTGGAGATACTTACAATGCCATAAAAAATCAAATGTAAAAAGAAATCGTGCTTTTGGTGGTTAAGTAACTAATTAAACAGACCCTCATCACTGTTAACTGTTCCGCCATCATAAGGGCGTTAAAAAAGGCCTTTTGTAGATCAAAGGATGAATATGTCCAAAGAAAATTTCTTTATAATTAAAGGAATTATAAAAATTTAAAATAAGAAGGGAGGTTGTACACATTGTACAAATTATGACAGACATGATATAAAGCATTCAGCAAAGAAAGCAGCGTTCAAAGAAAGCATACCAGTACATCAAAAATTGATGTAGGTTCTTGTGAATTCTTGTCCATTATTTGTATACTGTATTTGTAAATAATACTATACTGTTATATACAATTAATACATTTATTTAATTTACGTGTTAGACGTTGGAAAATTTCCTAGATTTCTGCAATTTTTGGAAAGACCAGTGGTTACTTACGTATAAACAAAACGACTATAGGCTTCATAACCACCATGAATCACCTAACAATGCCAAGCTTACCCGAGGGTGAAATAATACGCTGGCTTATATTTCGGCTTCACGCAATCTCCAGTGAGAAAATCAGACAGACCAAAATAAAGTAAACAAGTGTTCATCCACTCGCAGACCAACCAACTCTACCAACTAAGAAATGTCTTTAATTTGAACCAAAATGACGACAAAAGACTGTTTTACTTAGTATAGTCCTTTAACTCATAAGATAATTTGGAGATCGTGAGG